AGAAAGCTAAGACTAGTACGGGGAGGAGGTAACATCTGAACTATGCTTTGATGCTTGAATAGGAGCTCTTCTTACAATCAGAAGAGGAAGAGAATGTGCAAACGTACGGAAGAATTGAAAGAACATGGCCTGCCTTGTACAAATAGCAGGTAGTCCAGGGAAAAGCCTGGCCAGATTGTGAAGGACCAAATAGCACACGAGGGAGTGTGGCCCACTTTATAGACAATGAGCTGTCTTCCATTACAGTAGTGAGTTCTTGGGAAGGTTTCTTAGCCTCAGTGTGCTTTGGTTTCAGATACACAAACCAGAAATCTCCACAAGACACCTGCTGTGGTTCAGGTGCAGTGCCACCTGCTTTCTCATGGTTTTCCAGCAACACCGGACAACCTGGGATCAAATTCTGGCTGTGCCACTTGCTAGCTGTGTGACACTGAGCCTGCTACTTCACTCTTCTGTGCCTTCATTTTCTTATCTCTGAAGTAGGGATAATATACCACACAGTATTGCTGTGTGGATTAAATGAATTAATATATGTTAAGCCCTTAAAATAGTGCCTTAGCATTATATAATTGTTAGCTAATGCCTTCATCTAGGGAAGTATTATGCAAATGGATGAGAACTAGCCTTGGAGTCCTAAGACCTAGACTTGAGACCCAGTTCTGATGTTATGGGTTGATTTATTTTATTTCTTTTCCCTCCTTCCCTCCTCCCTTCTTTTTTCTTCTTCCTTCCGTCTTTTGGGAGAGAGGTGTAGAAAGAGGTACGTGGAGAATGTTTGTCAATCCATCTGAACTTCAGTTGCCTTACCTGTAAAGTAGGAATGTTATTCAGAGTTCTTATGAGCATCTACTATAATAATGCTATAGAAGTGAACAATCAACTATAAAGAGTCTACCTGGTCTGGGCGCAGCAGCTCACACCTGTAATCCCAGCACTTTGGGAGGCTGAGGCAGGTGGATCACCTGAGGTAAGGAGTTCGAGACCAGCCTTACATGGTGAAGCCCCATCTCTACTAAAAAGACAAAAATTGGCTGAGTGTTTTGGGGGGGCACGTGTAATCCCAGCTACTTGGGAGGCTGAGACAGGAGAATTGCTTGAACCCAGGAGGTGGAGGTTGCAGTGAGCCGAAATCACGCCATTGCAGTCCAGCCTGGGTGACAAGAGCAAGACTCTGTCATAATAAATAAATAAATAAAAACAAAGAGGCTGCCTGTACTTTACGATTAGATATATGATTACTGTGAAGTTACCATATAACTGATTTGTTTCAAACAAATCAGACTTATCTAGTGAGTAAGAGCAAAGCAGAGCAAACCTGTGGGTTTTGCTCTTATTAATTTAGCCATTGTTAATGGCTTACTCAATACCATCATCTTATGCCAGTGATGCTGCTGTCTGCTTAGACCTCCATTTTTAGACCTCCATTTTTAGAGTTCCTGCAGAGCTTGGGGTCAATTTTGGTCTTAGGTGCACTGAGTAGAAACATAGGCTAGCTTAATGTATAGGAGTTTTATTGGCAGGATACAGTGGATTTCCGGTACCCCAAGCATAGGAAGTGTAGCCACATGATCTGGAAATTTATCAGATGGTGGCTTTTCCCATCTCTTTCTGATTTCTGTCTTCAGTTCATTTATATATTTCTGGATTCTTCCTGCAGAATCACTTCCTCTGAAAGGCTCTTGGTTTTTATTCTCCGTATCTTTGGCTCGTGTGAATCTTTGGCTTGTGTAACTCTTTGGCTTGCCATGGTACCTGCTCTGAAGCTTACTGTGATCTTACTTCTCCAGGGCCCATTATCACCCAGCTCCCTTAATGTCTTTTATTTTTATTTATTTGTTTATTTTGGATGGAGTCTCACTCTGTTGCCCTGGCTGGAGTGCAATGGTGCGATCCAGGCTCACTGCAACCTCCGCCTCCTGGGTTCAAGCAATTCTCCCTGACTCAGCCTCCCGAGTAGCTGGGATTACAAGCGCCTGCCACCATGCCCAGCTAATTTTTGTATTTTTAGTAGAGACAGGGTTTCGCCATGTTGGCCAAGCTGGTCTCAAACCCCCAACCTCAAGCAATCCATCCGCCTCAGACTCTGAAAGTGATGGAATTATAGGTGTGAGCCACCACAACTGGCTTGTCTGTCTTTTAAATTCAAGAGGAAGAATTGGAATCGTTCAGCTAAAGTTGGATGTTCACTTTGGTCCCATCAACTATGACAAGGTTATGGAGCGTGTCATTCAGGCTGCCTGGGTCACTGAGAATGGGGGCTTGTTAGTATCTTGCAAATAGTTTGGAGGTTGCAAATCTCCATGTTTTAAAATGTGTATGAATTTTTGAACAGCCAAGAATCATTCAGGACTAACTTTAATAAAGAGAGACTCAACCTAGGATATCTCATATGGGGTCAAGAGAAAATAATAGCTATAACATAATGAGCTTTAGTTTATTTATCTCCAACGATGGTGTTCAGAAAGGAGTTAAAAATAATATGGTTTGTTTCGTAGCAGCACCATCAAAATTAAGGAAGGGTGTAGCTTCATTTGGTGAGAACTTTAAAATGGGTATCCTCACTTAGATTTTTTAAATTCCACTTAAAAACCGTGGACTTTTAGACTTAGAAGGTGTCTAAGATGTCCTTTTCTAAATTAAATCTCAGTTTTCTTCTATTAAAAGATGTGAGTATAGAACTAAAGCTGAGACATGCTTTAGTTCTATACTCACATCTTTTAATAGAAGAAAGCTGAGATTTGGTTAAAGGGATGTGTATACATTGTGAAAGACCTAGGACTAGGCCCTGAGGCCTTTGGCTCTAAATCCAGTCACTTTCTTCAGCAGGGACAATTATCCCAGCCCACTGCTTTTTGTGTTGTACCTTCCGTGCCTGCTTATTTTTAAAAATAAGGCAAAACTCATGAATGATGATAAGAAGTCAGAAATTTCCCTTCAAAGGACTGGAAGGATTGACCGGAAGAGGAAGTATGAAGTCATTTTCTAGGGTGATGAAAATGAAATGTTCAGTGTCTTGTTTTGAGTGGTGGTTGCAGGGAGATGCATGTGTATATTTCTATTATATATTTATATATACAAACATATGTACCCTTAAGCCCTCTGCATTATATTGCATGTAAATTATATCTCAGTTTTTAAAATTGACCTTACAACTGTGCAGTCCTATCTACTAATTACAGTAGGATAAGGATAAGGATGCATCTCTAGGCATCCAGAGATTGATGGTGTCACCCCTGGAACGAAAACTCCCTGCCTTGCTATAACTGGAGCAGAGTATTTTCCTCAGAAATTATGCTGATAGGGCCAGTTTCTTCTCTGAGGTTTGTTGTGTGTCTAGACACATAAAAATTACATGTGAACAATTCTGCCATGAGCTACAGAAGTTAGGGAAGCTTTGTGGGCCATAAGGCCAACCCACTTCAATCCCTTTAGGCTGCGTTTCATTGCAGTGGACAGAAATTGAGGCTGGCTCAGAGGAAAATGGGAAAGCACTGGCCGAAGCCAGTCCAAGTTCTGTCCCGCCATTATAACTTACTAGCTGGGTGACCTTGGGCGCTTAACACAACACTGAGCTTTAGTTGTGCCACCCTCAAATGGAGGTGATAATTCTATTCTGCCTAATTCATGGGGCTGCTGGGACGACACAATAAAATAAGGGAAAGCACTTTGAAAACTAGTTATTTTACACTGTCAAGTTCTGGAAATGCTGACTTTTTTTTGTTTTTTGTTGTTTTTTTTGTTTGTTAGTTTGTTTTTTATGACAATAGACTTCTGCAGCATCCCATCCTGACTAGAAAATGGTCATGAAAGCATCCCTCGTTCTGAGGCCTGTGGGCTTGTGGGGACAGGATTTTTACTCCTTTTCATCAAAGAGGTTTATATTTACCAGGCTTCAGGCTGTGAGAACTGACATCTGTGTTTGGGCTGAAAAATTGATAGCATACATGCATAATGGCCTCACAACAGCTATGCTTTGTATGCCAGGAGAGGCAGGTGGTCCCCATTAGTGAGGCATGAATTGTGGGTGAATGGCTAAACCTCAAGGATGCAGAAAGGTCTTTTTCATTAAGGGAGAGGCCTTTCCTGAACTTATAGGCAAGGAATGTAAATATACATTGAAATAATCCATCAGCCAAGTGACTTCCCTTCATCAGACCTTGGAGAGAGAATGCTTTAGTTACTGCTTAGAATACCAGTAAGCTATCAGAGTTGCCTAGGATACCAGTCACATGGGCCCATCTTCCAGACTTGCTCAAGATGATTTATTTTCCTTTATTTTGGTGAGAAGTGGGGGAGGGGGTCAGAGGTACTTGCAGAGCCCTGGCCTTAAATAGAGGGGCCCTTGTGTGAGGATATCCTTACCTCCCTCCACTCGAGTTGTCAGCAGCCCCTGCCCTTGGCAGTAGGGACAAAAATAGCATTTCCTGTCCCAGTTCCCTTCCCCATTTTCTGATGTCGTCCCACACAGAAGAGGCTTTGCATTGTGTCCTTCGAGGGGAAAGGAGTGGCATCAAAGAGTGCGGAGGAAGCAGGAGAGCATGTAGCTGGGCCCTGCTGACGCTGGGATCTTCCTAGGATGACTGCAGAACAGAAGTAGCCTGGCTCCTCCAGCTAACAACTCACCCAAGAAAAGGCTGTCTATTCTTATCTGTCTCAGAGCATATGCTTCTCTCCTCCCAAGGTCTCAAGACAGGAATTTGCAATGAATATATTCTTCTACCACTGAGTCCTCTTGACTCTTAAACTGAAGCACCACATTGGCACATCTTACTACTGGCTGATCTATGAATGAGAGACAGTTTGTCCCATTTACTTTTGCTGCTTTAATCTCAAGAAACAAAAGCCCAAGGAGAGGTTGTGGTATGATCTAGGAAAATTCAAACCAAGTAGTTTCATGTGTTACTTTATGCAGTGTCTGTCTTCAGACTCTTACATGTAACAAGAGTGAAAAATGAAGATGTATTCTGACTTTTTCCACCTTTCCGATTCCTTCTCCCCAGGCAGCTGCGTCTGTGTTTTTGTGTTGGGGAATTAGAGCCCACTGGGAACGATGCCACCACCGTCAGACATTGTCAAAGTGGCCATTGAGTGGCCAGGTGCTAACGCCCAGCTCCTTGAAATCGACCAGGTACGCTCCTGAAATGAGAAGCAGTGATGCAAGGAAAAGGACCTGGGGAGTGAATGCAGAGGGTATCTTGAGGGTTAGGGATCGCTGGCAGCAAGAGGAAGAACCAGCAACAGAAAGGCCAAGATTTGGGCCTGGCCCACCCTAGGGAAGGTCGGCCACCATGGCTTAGGAGAGGCTTCCTCTTCAACAAAAGCTATTAGGAAAGAAGTTCATTCTCATGCCCCAGCTTGACCCTGGTTGGCAGCCCCTCTCGTCCATACCTTGGCGTGAGTAGGATGTTGCTGCTGTTGAAGGCTCTCTTTTTCTCTTTCAGAAACGGCCCCTGGCATCCATTATCAAGGAAGTTTGTGACGGGTAGGTTGAAATGGACCTTGTTTTCAACAGTGGCAGCTCCAACTGAAGGAGCACTGCCACACCTTGAGGGGAGTTCTGGGGAGGATCTCTAGTTAGGCACGTCCCCAACGTGGGACTCTTAGGACTCACTGTCCTGGGAAGGAAGTACAGTTGACAACAATGCCCCTAAGATGTTTATACTTCTTCATTTTTTCCTTTAAGTCTAGCATTGCCCTGTTTGAGGTCCTGGCAGGATCTGAGGACCCCTCCTTAGTTCCGCACACCTTTTGTGGTGTCATCTTTACGAAAGGCCAAGTCCATGATTTTTTCAACATGACAATCTAAAGCTTTGATTTTTTTTCCACTGTATTCCAAATAGGCCACCCAGTCCTTTGAGCAACTCTACCAAAATTACTTATGAGCAGCTCTGCACAAGAGCGTGGCCAAGTGGGATATACTGTTTTTCTCTTCCATAGGTGGTCATTGCCAAACCCAGAGTATTACACCCTCCGTTACGCAGATGGACCTCAGCTCTACATCACCGAACAGGTTAGTACAGGGAGACACAAAATCAATATGGGCCTTGCTTGGAAGTAAATGACCCGAGGAGACAGCACTATTTATCTTCACTCAGCATCCAGGTAGCTTCCATGTGTTAGGTAAAGAATTGCTCCGTGCACAGACTGGGAAGTGTCAGCCCTTGTTCCTCCCTAGTGGCTGGAAAAAGGTAGCTTTTACTTCCTGAGGGTCCAGGGTGCCAGAAAAGAATCTTAGAAGCTCTTTGCCAAAGAACAAGCAGAAGAGGACCCAACTGAAGAGCCTCAGTTACATCTACTGTGAAAAAGACAAATCTGTGGATTCAACTTGCTTGTACCACTTTAACATTTTATCTTAGTTATTGTTCTTGTTTGTTTGTTTTTCACTACCTAGACTCGCAGTGACATTAAGAATGGGACAATCTTACAACTGGCTATCTCTCCGGTAGGTATTCTTCCTTCCTGAGGAGTTTATTTGTGTCACAAACAAATATGAGCACCTACCATGGGCCATATTCTGTTCTAGAAACAAGGACTCTGGAGATTAAAAAGTCGGTCTTTTTGTATCAGGAAATAATACAGGAAAATAAGTCTGTCTTGGTTGTCACTACCTAGTGAGGAGTAAACAAATGCAATATAAGGCCTTTCTCAAGGGTCTTGAGAGAAAGTTGCTTAGGGAGCTGTGGGAACTCACAAAGGGGACCACCTAACCCAACCTGGAGATTTCCAGAAAGCCTTCAGAGAATGGGTCACTTAGCTCAGATGTTAACGGATGAGCAAGAATTAGCAGGACAAAGAAAAGGAAATGTATTCCAAGCAGATAATCAGCGTATGCCAAGGCACGGAGGTGTGCTGTGTTTGGGAAAAGCAGGAGTGCTGGATGGCTGAAGGCTTGTAGCAGTCATTGAGAAGCCAGATATTCAAGGTTCCTTGATGGCCTGCTCATGGGTTTGAAATCTCTCCAGAAGGAAACTAGGGACATAACAGCCCAGTGAAGGCAGATGATAAAGGAGATGAAAAGATGGATATGAAGAATGTCTAGGAGGTAACCTTTAATGAGTATGGTGATATGCTGTATGTGGAAGGAAAGGGGAGAATGGAGGATGACCCCTGGTTTCTCCAAAAGCAGCCCTTAAAGGTCACTAAGGAAGCAATCAGAAGGGTAGAAAGAACACCAGGAAGGTGAAGTGACTAAGGAGCTTTGGGCAGGGAGAGTGTCAGGAATGAGGAATGTATGGTCTGCCATTTTTAATTTAGTAAACTGGGAACAGAAAAGCTGTCTAATGACTTGGGAGGTGAAGAGAACACTGGTGATCTTCTCAAAAACTTACGGTGGCGCAGCCAGGTGGCCAAATTGAAGTGGGTCAAGTAAAAGAAAGGTAAAGTAAGGACTTTGAGTCTACCATTGTATCAAGAAGATTGGTTTTAAAAGAAAGCAGACAGAGAAGGTGGTAACTTAAAGGGGACAGGGAGTCAAAAAGATATGCTTTGTAAAGCATTCATGGGTTTCACAAATGAAAAATTTTCACAGAGATGTGAAAGGTCTCCCCCCAACTCCTGTCCCCATCTGCCCAGTTCCCCACCTTTCTGACCCTTCATGGTGATTGTTTCTGTTGCAGTTTTTTATGTGCCCTTAAGAATGTGTTAAGATGGAAGAAAGGAAGGTTAAAGGTGCAGGAAAGCAGGTATTCAGTAGAACAGGACCTTATTGGACCAGGAGAGGAAGGACTCAAAGCCTAGGTAGAGGGAATCACCTTGACTGCTAGGCCCATGAGGAAGACAGTCAATGTGGTTGCACCTTTGGTTATGTTTGTAGAGGGCAGCCAGAAAATTATTAAGGGCACGATGGTGCAGAGAGAGACTGGTTCATCTGAGAGGAGGGGGGGTATGAAGTGATATCAGCTAACATTTACTGAATGCCTGTATTTTGCTACTTTATGTAATTATCTAATCTTTACAAACATCCCATGAGATAGGTACTCTTGCCAGCGCCATTCTGTAGACAAGGAAACCAATGCTTGGAGAGGTTAGTCACACAACTAATAAAGTAGCCAAGCCTGCTCTCAGACCCAGATCTGTCTGTCTCTAGGCCCATATTCCTTCCATTATGTTCTTCTGCCTTCCTCTCTTGTCCTGAACTCTTCTCATCTTAAGGACTTCATTCTTCCCTCCTAAGCTCTGGTAATTTAATATGATAGCCTGTTATAAAACTGTTAGACAGCAGAAGAGGTTTCTCTTGAGTTACTTTTATGGAAGTGCCGACACATTTCACAGACCTCTTGCACAGTGTAGCTGATTTTCCCAGAAGTATATCACTCTGGAGCAGGAGGCAGCAGCCCAGAAATGCTGTCTCAAGAGAAAAGTTGATATTTGGAGTTGGAAGTTTCAAAGTGGGATGTAGACCAGTGCTCTTCAGATTGTTCTATGCTGTGACCTTTTCCTGTGCTGCACATTTTCTCACTGCAGAGATAGTGAGGGCTTCTGTATCATAGAGAGCTTTGTGCTATGAAGGGCCAGCTTTGTAATAGTAAAAGAGGAGAGGCAAAGGGGAGAGGGACAGCAGGCCTGACTCCTTGGTGGCAGCAGGAATTGAGCTCCAGTCACTTGCATAACACTGAGAAAAAGGAAAGAAGACCAGGAGTATTTCCCCAGAACTACCACTTTGACAAACAATCATACGGACTTTGAGAGAAAGTTTTAAAAAAATGGTCAGACATTTCACATTTGAGGATTAAAAGGGACCTTAGAGGACATCAGATTAAATTCTTCACCCAATACAAGAATCCCTTCTACAGCATCTTTGACAGATGGTTATCCAGATTCTCCTTGATTGCTTCTGGTGACAGGGAGCTTAATACCTCAAGAGAAACCTCTTCTGCTGTCTGACAGTTTTATAAATTTTATTTTATTTTTTTTTGAGATGGAGCGTCGCTTTGTTGCCCAGGCTGGAGTGCAGTGGCACAATCTTGGCTCACTGCAATCTTTGCCTTCTGGGTTCAAGTGATTCTCCTGCCTCAGCTTCCTGAGTAGCTGGGATTATGTGTGTGCGCCACCACGCCTGGCTAATTTTTGTATTTTTAGTAGAGACGGGTTTTCACCATATTGGCCAGGCTGGTCTTAAACTCCTGACCTTACGATCCGCCTGCCTTGGCCTCCCAATGTGTTGGGATTACAGGCATGAGCCACCACGCCTGGCTAGTTTTATTTTATTTTACTTTTTACTTTTGAGAAAGAGTCTTGCTCATCATCCAGGCTGCAATGCAATGGCACAGTCCTAGCTCTCTGTAACCTTGAACTCCTGGGCTCAAGCAGTTTTCCCACCTCAGCCTCCTGAGTAGCTAGGACTACAGGTGTGCCCCACTACACCTGGCTCATTTAAAAACATTTTTTGTAAAGACAGGATCTTACTCTGTTGCCCAGGCTGGTGTCCAACTCCTGGTCTCAAGTAGTCCTCTGGCCTTGGCCTTCCAAAGCCTTGCGAATACAGGCACGAGCCACTGCACCCAGCCAGACAGCTTTTTTTTTTTTCTGAGATGGAGTTTCACTCTTGTTACCCAGGCTGGAGTGCAATGGTGCGATCTCAGCTCACCGCAACCTCCCCCTCCTGGGTTCAAGCAATTCTGGCTCAGCCTCCTGAGTAACTAGGACTACAGGCGTGCGCCACCATGCCCAGCTAATTTTTTTTTGTATTTTCAGTAGAGACGGGGTTTCACCATGTTGACCAGGATGGCCTGATCTCTTGACCTTGTGATCCACCCACCTTGGCCTCCCAAAGTGCTGGGATTATAGGCATGAGCCACTGCGCCCGGCCCAGACAGCTTTAATTAAAGAAAACCTTCCTCTATTAAACTAATATCTGTTTCTCCGTGACTTGTCATTGTTAGTGGGTCTCCCACATGTCTCCGGTATTCCCTTAGTAGGAATTTTTTTAATCCATAGATCACAGTGGTACAGAAAAGATACAGATTGGTTCTGGCATACTAGTAACTCCCTGCTTGATACCATAAACATTGATTTAGCAACTCCTAAGCAGTGTGAAAAAACTAGTTCTGCCTCAGGTTTGGATGTCCACAGAAGGACATCTGTGAGCTATCCAGAGTAACCTGCTCCAAGGGGCAGATGGCACATATCTTTTCCCTGGTCTCCTAGTCCCGGGCTGCACGCCAGCTGATGGAGAGGACCCAGTCATCCAACATGGAGACCCGGCTGGATGCCCTGAAGGAGCTGGCCAAGCTCTCTGCCGACGTGACTTTTGCTACTGAGTTCATCAACATGGATGGCATCGTTGTACTGACGAGGCTTGTGGAAAGTGGAACCAAGCTCTTGTCCCAGTGAGTATCACTAAGGTCTCGTTCTAAGGACTTTTAACCATTTACAACATCTCACAGGGCATCCTAGTCTCATTTCCATTGAGTTAAATAAGAAGGTTATTAACCACCACCTGTGTACAGAGCAGTGTGCCAAGCACTAGAGTTTATACCGAGAGATAGAATTCCATATTGTGGTTCTAAATCTTGTAGTCTAGTTGGGCCCTCACAAATTAAATAGTAGTACAAAATAGTACTGTGCCAAGTGAGTAAAAATAGGAGCTAGAGAAGTCAGGAGGAGAGCGGTCAGGTTGTGACAGACCTGTTAATTGCTGGAAATGCTTGGTCTGATGTGGGTTACGGAGCAGATGGTCCAGTATCTCCCAGGTGTCTATCTGTTTGTAATCATCCCCTGCTCCTTCCCTCTCCATTCACCTCCCACCCCCCACCCCCACCACACACATAGGCCTTCCCTTGTGTTTACCACAGGTTACAACCTATCCATTTGCTGTCTCCCTGTCACACTTTTGCATAGGGAGGAGGAGACCAGAACTTTGTGATACCCACAGGCATCTTCACCATACCCCAGAGTTGACAGGCATGTGGTAGGCAGCGATGCCTTGTGGGCAGCAGTCAATAAACAGGTGCTTGGAGCCTAAGTTGCTGAAGAGGGAGTCAGAAATCTCGGCCCATAGGTCAGCTATTGAAATTTTCAGCCAAATCTACTAATGATAGATATTTGTTTTATATCTTGGATCTTCCAGCTGTACTGAAGTCCTGAAGCCTTCAGTTGCCGTCAGCACTGACATAGTTCCAGTTTCCCGAGAGTTCAGGGTTAGAGGAGCCTTAGTTTCCCTCTCTTTAGCCTGAGGATGATAATACCTACCTTGCAGTATTATTGTGAGAAGTATTGTTGATGAGAATGTGTCTGAACATGCTTTGTAAATAGGAATATTGTTTTAATTTTAGAGTACTGTACTGCTATATAAAGGATTAAATGTATAAGCAGGAGAGAAAAAAGAGAAAACATTTTAATCCTTATTCTCTACCAGCACTAGAATAAGAGCTTTGCATACATCATCTTGCCCTCTCCACAACCCTGTGAGGTTAACGCTGTGAGACTAACTCGATTTTAAAGAGGAAGAAATTGAATTTTGAAAAGATAATATTTGCTTGGTTAATAAGGTGGACAGGAACTGAACCTATCCCCTGCACTCTGCTGCCTCTTGGCCTAAAGGTTAACATGGCACTTCGCTTCCTTAGGTTCCCCCAACAGGCGTTGGAGTTTGACAGAGGTCCGATGTCATCTTTGGCACTGGGAAATAGATAAGTGATTCTGTGTCTCTGGGATGAAGCCTGTGGAGAAGGAAGGTCTAATAACCCAGCAGCATTTTTTTTTTTTTTTTTTTGTGATGACAGATACCTGGGCTGAATCTGCTCTACATCTGGCTAGGTGTGCACACAGGCACTTAAGTTACAGTTGTACTGACTGATTTCCCATGGAGGTGTTAAAATTCATCTTTTTTAATGGCTGCCCTCACACCTGTGTTTCCCAATCTGAATCTTTGTCTATTTTGTGTGTGTGTTGCACGTGTCTCAGCTACAGTGAGATGCTGGCATTCACCCTGACTGCCTTCCTAGAGCTCATGGACCATGGCATTGTCTCCTGGGATATGGTTTCAATCACCTTTATTAAGCAGGTGAGGCCTCCAACATCCTTTCTTTTTCTCTTCCCTCAGCTACCAGTTCACTGGGTTTAAGGGGAGATACAGGCAATGTAGCCATTGTGGTGAGATCAGCTTTATATTCCCTGAGGCCAGATTTTTCATCCTCAAGCTCTGGTCTTCTGTGGCTTCTGAAAGATTTGCATTTTGTTATACTCTCAGGGCCTGCACTGAGATGGAACTGGACCGTCAGAACTAAATATGACCAAAGTAGAATTAGATTGTCCAGGAGACTGGGGATAAAGCCAGCCAGTCAACCAGTACTATCCCTGAGTCTTCAGACCGACTTCTTGAGCTCTCCCTTCTCTTTGGATAAAAAATAAAACAAAAGAAAACAAAAAATGTGCATTTCATTTGCAAATCTGCCTTCTGTTTACAAATCTGCAAGATAGCCTGTTTGGATTGTCAGACTAAGCTCAGTGGGTAGGAGAGGATACTGCTGGTTTTACCCTCTCTTACACAAAGGACCAGTGTCAATTCAGAAAACTGATGTAAAACCAATGAATAATATTCTATCTGCTGCCCTAGAACTTCACCTAATATTGGCTTAGGACATTGAGACTCCCCAACACTGGAAAAAGTAAAATGACCATGTGTCAAGGATACTATCATGGGGATTGAGAAGAAGGATTCGAGTAAAAGGCTTGAAGGTCCTTTTTACCTCTCAAAATCTAAGTATGTTTAGGGAGAATGTGTATCAGGGAGGATACATGGAGATAAACTGAGATCCCAATATCAGTAAAATCCTTTTCTTTTTTATACCCCACTTTCTCATGCTGGAACCCTTATTTTGATAACAAGAATTAAGCTTTTAGATTTTGAGGAAACATGATTAAGTGGATATTATAACCCGAGATTGAGGCATCCATGCCAAGGGAATCCCTGGCACATTGGCCAGGGTAACTGCAAACCAGATACCTCTATCCAGCTAGCAACAGCTGCCCAGATGTGAAGCAGAAAGAGCTTCAAGAGCTCTCATCAGAGGCTAAACTTCTGTCTTTCTTGGGCCCAGAACTTCTCAATTTGATGTGTCATCCCTGGGTCTAGATTGCAGGGTACGTGAGTCAGCCCATGGTGGATGTGTCAATCCTTCAGCGGTCCCTGGCCATACTGGAGAGCATGGTCTTGAACAGCCAGAGTCTATACCAGAAGATAGCTGAGGAAATCACCGTGGGACAGCTCATCTCACACCTCCAGGTGTGAGTAAAAGACCCTACACCTCCCTCCCTTCACTTGTCTGTCCTCCTCTCTCCTCTTATTTTAAGTCTCCTAATCCTACTCCGCTTTGCTTATATTCCAAGCTGCTGGTTGCCTCGTTCATTCATTTATCACCTCTTCCACATTCCTGCCAGAATTTCTCCCATCATTCAGACCTAATCATGTCCTGCTCCTGCCTAAAATCCTCTGTAACTCTCTCTGCCCCTTAGGTTAAAATGAAGATTTTTCCCAGTCTTTCCATACTACCCTGGTACCAGACAAAATTAGATGCTTTCTCCCATATGGGCCCAGTAGTCTCTGTTTGTACCTATGATAGTTATGTAAAATATTGCGTGTTTATTATCTGTTGCCCATTTTGAACATAGAGCCCCCTGGAAACAGAGACCAATCATTGTCATATCCCCTGTTTTGATTTAAGTAGAGGCTCAATTAGTACTTGTTGAATGAACGTTTACTGAACTGACGATGCACTGTGGGTGACTGTAAGGAGTATCACACTGGGCATGAGTTTGGAATATCAGTTCAAATCCAGGCTCTGCTGCATACCAGGTCTCTGCCATTAGCAAGTAACCTAGTCTCTTCTGGCCTCAGTTTCTTCCTCTCTAGACTAGGTTAATCATCTTCACCTCACACACTGTGATGATCTAAGGAGATTGTAAAAACGTCTAGCACAGTAGCCAGCATGGGTTAGGTATTCAGTCAATTCACGGGCTTTTTCGCTTTTGCTTGTTAAGACTCTTATCACATCCTACAACATTTTACCAGATAATAAAACCATATGACAGATGAACCCATTGGAGTGCTGTTTCTCCTGTCTCCATTGTTTTTACTTCACTTCCAACCAACCTACACAATGTAAAGAAGCTGGACTTTGCAAAACAGGGTTGACACTCCTGTTGATTCTCTTCTGACTCTGCCTCACTTCTGTCTTTTTGGACATTGTCAGGATGTTGCCAGAATCTCCCACTAGTTGGGAAGTCATAGCTCCCAGATTTGGGTGCTTATAATGGCCCTGTCTTCACTCGGCTATGCTACCAACTTGTTTTTCCCCACTAATCCAAGCAAAAAGAAGGCACAGTGATTTCTTTGTAGCTCTGATTTCTCCTTGTCACTTTTAAGGACTTTTCAGCCTCAGCTTTCTTTTCTTTTCCCTTCCCCTCCCCGCCCAACTTTTCTTTTCTTTTCTTCTTTTTTATTTGAGACAGGGTCTCACTCTGTCACCCAGGCTGGAGTGCAGGGGCATGATCATAGCTCATTGCAGGCTCAAGCAATCCTTCCCATCTCAGCCTTCCGAGTAGCTGAAATCACAGACACACTCCACCACATCTGGCTAGTTTTTTTTATTATTACTGTTTTTTGTAGAGAGAGGGTCTCACTGCGTTGTCCAGGCTGGTCTCAAACTATTGAACTCAAGCAGTCCTCCCACCCCAGCCTCCTAAGTAGCTGGGACTACAGGTGTGAGCCACCATGCCTGGTCTAGTCTCAGCTTTCATGCCCAGTGAGCCACCAAGGTTGATTAAGGTGAGAGGGACATAATAAACTCCAGACAGAATTCTGATTTTCCTGTAACCTCACATCTACTTCTCTTTTTTTGTCTCTGAATTCAAAGTGGCCCCAGTTGCCTCCCTAGGGATGATAGGAGAATATGGCATTTCTTAGGGGCCAGTCATGAATACTTTTAGCCCACAGCTGTCACCAGAACTTATATGGTTTCCTATTTGGGCTGAGGGACACTTACTGCCCTCTGTTAGACTACCTGGGTACCGTGTGACCAACCAGGAAGCCCATCAGCCCCTCTGGAAAGAGAGCCACAGAATCCACCCAAACATGGCAAGTGGAGATGTCAAGGACCAGGATTGTAAGATTCCAGAGCATGACTGTAGTTATTTTGTTTGTTCATAATAAAATATGTTTATAGTCAAAGACTTTAAAAATACAGGAAAACCCAAAAAGTAAATTATTTTCCCATTATCTCACCTCCAGACATACCCACTGTTAAACATTAAATTGAATGTCCCTTCAGTATTTTTTTTCTGTGTATATTTTTAACAAAATTAGGATCTCATTATATACACTGTGTACCTTGTTTTTTTTTAATTGAATAATATATCTTGAACATTTCTCCATGTCAAAGGTTTTTCTAAAGGGGTAGTTCTAAGTCTTTTTTGCAACCTAGACACCTTTGAAGATCTGGTAACAAGCATACTCTCATCAGTTTGGAAAAATGGTCACTTAGTCAACAAACTACATAGAATAGTTTCTGTTTCATTCCTTGGGTTCACAGATACTCTAAGCCCATCCCTGAATCCCAGGTTAAGAAGCTTTACCCTAGGCCAGGTGCAGTGGCTGATGCCTGTAATCCTAGCCCTTTGAGAGGCCAAAGTGGGCCGATCACCTGAGATCAGCAGTTCGTGATCAGCCTGGCCAACATGGTGAAACTCTGGCTCTACAGAAAATACAAAAATTAGCTGAGTATGGTGGTGGGCGCCTGTAATTCCAGCTTCTCAGGAGGCTGAGGCAGGAGAATCACTTGAACCCAGGAGGTGGAGGTTGCATTGAGCTGAGATCATGCCATTGCACTTCAGCTGGGCAACAAGAGTGAAACTCCGCCTCAAAAAAAAAAAAAAAAAGAAAGAATCTTTACCCTAAAACCTGAGTTTTAATAACTACTTAAGATTCTCATATATATAAACAGTTGGCTAATGTGATCATTTGGATTACTTTCCATTGTTTTTTAAGTAGTACTTTAGTGAAACACCTTGTAAGTAAATCTTGCATAGCTCTCTGATTACTGTCTTAGGATAAATTCCTATTAGTGAAATTGCTGGGTCAAGAGCATGCCCACTTTGAATGCTTTTGAGACCTAGCTCCAGATCATTAATTGTGTATAATCTGTGAGTAATTGTTTTAAACCACCTCTATGCATCGTCTTGCTGTTCAATCTTCTAATCTCCCTCTGCCTTCTTTCTCCACTGACACAGCTCCAACCAGGAGATTCAGACCTACGCCATTGCACTGATTAATGCACTTTTTCTGAAGGCTCCTGAGGACAAGCGACAGGTCTGTGGCTGCCTTTTTCATCTGGGCTCTTCTGAGAGAAGAATTCTCACCCCACGTACTCTTTGCTGTGCAGAGATCGCAAACCCAGCCATTTTCCCAAGAGTCCTTCCTCCTGGCCCACCGGTCCGATGCCCAGAAGGGCAGCTTTGCTAAGGAAGACACAAGGAAGAACTATGAGGGGAAACCAACTGGGTCTTGGATGAGAGCAGGGCCCTTCCAACTTTTTCTTCCAAAGGCCAGAGAACAAATATGTTTGACTTTATGGGCCATGCAGTCTATGTGATAGCTACTCAGCCTAGCCATGATAGCCAAAAGCAGCCTCAGACAATAGGTAAATGAATGGGTATGGCTGTCTTCCAGTAAAACTTTATTTACAAAAACAGGCAACAAGCCCAATATGGTCATAGTTTGCCAACTCTTGGGTTAGAGGATCAAGAATAAGGAAGAGGAGACCCTGTTGGTACCATGAGTCCAAGGAGTCCAATATGAAAGGGACTTCACACTAAGTTTTATGTTTAAAGGTTCTCTGATGCAGATGCTAAACATCTTCCTTCCCCTGTTCATTAACTGTGTGACATTATACAACTAGCTCTGCCTTTGTGAACCTTAGTTTACTTACCTGTCATGTGGGAGCAACAACATCTGCCTTGTTTACCTCACAAGGATGTCTGAGGAGAAACAATATCCCTGCTTCACAAATGAGGAAACTAAGAATCGGCTCGGGGGTGGAGCAAGCACTGACCTGAGAGCCAGGGGGCCTGGGACTAAGTACTCTCCCTGCTGCTGGCTGGGCAAGTGTTTGTAACCTCTCTGGGTCTCAGTTTCTCTTCTGGAAAATGAAAGGGCCAGTTTAAATGATCTCTGACAGCCCTTCCACCATTAACATTCTAGATTTCTCTGAGAAAAGCCCAAGTGGTGTTAAAAGTGAGATGTTTTAGTTCTCTGACAATCTCATGGGCTCAGTCGGATGAAATCCAAGTGGGATGATGTATGTACTCAGCTCTTGGTAGATTCTAGAGGGAAGACCAGAAGCATCTGTGGTTCTGTCTGTCCTTGTCTTTCTTGGATGGCTTGGCTCTGTTAATCTTCCCAGTCCTTGTTTGAATGTAAGCTGAAAGCTCATTCCATCTGCTTCTCTCTGTGCTTTTGCTTTCTGCCGGCAGGACAAGCAACTTAATCCTCTAGACCTGCCTGTCACTGTAAGTAGCACTGCCATGTGGAAAGGGCCTCGGCTCTTCCAGGTGGGGAAGTCAAAGCTGGGCAAGAATCTCATGGTCTGATCTAGATACTCAGGGCATACCAAGACCCAGGGAAAGGTTGTGTGCTGTGAATCTCCTTTGTTGGGACACTTAGGGAAGTACTGCAGCTTAGAGTCATAGAAAGGATTAAGGGGGTACCTGCCCCAGGGAGTGTGGACCCAGCTTTCCTTTGTCCCTTGCCTTTGCATGGGTCTGTGGTTCAACTAGGGAAGATCAGACTCAGAAACAGCTTGTGACTTTGATCTAGGCAATACCATGGATGTGTCACCTTCTTACTTGCTTTAGCAGAAAAGAAAAGGTATTCCATGCCCTTTTTGGACTCTTACTACATAGGAATCTGAAAAAGTTTTGATAGTCAACAAAAGGGTATTTGGTTGCTCATTTTTTCGTTATAGGAAGCTTTAGAGAGGTCAGCTTTGCGACAAGATGAAAGAGGATAAGTGCCTCCCCTTGACACCACAGAGAAGCTTTTGGTCTAAGACCTTTATATTCTAGCTTCAGACCACTGTCAATTACCCATTTTGTGAGTTGTCCACAGCAAGATTTAATCTGAGGCGTCCTCCTATAGTTACCATAGACGTTTCTAGGCCACTATCCTCTGCCAGCCAGTATGTATTCAGTGAATGCAAAGTAAAATTTAATGTTCCATTTGGAATATGGCTAGAAATGCAGAAGTGAGAGAGGGGTGTCTTTCAGCTCTGAGGAAAATGACACAGAGCTCACAGATACTATTCCACAGGAAAGGTGTGACAGCTCCCTCAGGCCCATTGATTTAGGATTCTCTATAAAATTAAATGAAGGCAGCAGTTTAGAAAATGAAGTCACAATAATTAACATTAGTAAGAAGTGACAGCCGACATTGGAAGGAAGAGACAGAAGAATTATGAAATGCTGTCAGAAAAATTAAAGCCATTGTAATCTAGGACCATTTGTTTATGGGAAAATAGCTTCACATCTCAATAGCTCCTCAGGGTATCACAGTGTCACAAGACAGAATAATCACTGATGTTCTTTTTGATGAAGTCGACTCCTTAGCAGTGATTAAATTATAATCACTGTAGTTACTTTAGAAATAAAGAAATGTATATATCTAAAAGATTTGCATAAGAATGGTCAAAATAATGGTTCTGAGAGAACCCTTAAAGCTTTGCTCCCTGGAAGATTAATTTATGTGGATACTTTATTTCCTGGGTATGCCAAATAAATAAAGCATAACTGCCAAAATCTGGATCAAATATTATTAAAAAGCTGAGCCTGTTATTAAAAATTACCCAAAGCACCCGACCCATCATTCTCTAAGCCAGTTAGAACTGAATCCTAGACTACTTGCTATTGTAGAACATCCACGCCCCAGCCTGTCTGCTGTAGGGTGGGAGGAGGGTGACTGGGCCAAAGCCTTTCCTGGTTTGGAGTTAGTGCTTCACTAGAGTTCCTTCCACCCTTAGCGGTGGGGTCTGCCTGGCATGATGCGTGTGGCTTGGAAACCATCACATTGCTCTGTGTCCACGTGCAATGTCCTTGTGACACAAGCGTCTCATCTTCAAGCAGTCCATCTCTATGAAGACAGTGCAGTTGATTGTGCCATTAGGAAGGGGAATCCTATTTGAATTAATTTGCACTGACAAAAATAGGGATTGTTTCAGAGTGTAAAATACATTGGATGGTCAGTGGATATTCGTTCATTCACCCACTTTTCATTTGGGAGGGAAAAAATTTAAAAGAGTGAAAAAGGCCCAGAATTAAGACATCATCACCTTCCTCTCAATAGTAGTAACAGGTGTGTGCCTGCCACCTTGCCTAATATTTGCTTATTTTCCTCCATAGGATATGGCCAATGCATTTGCACAGAAGCATCTCCGGTCTATAATCCTGAATGTGAGTTCCCAGAACATGCTGTATTTTGTTACTATTAGTAGCAATTATTACTGTTCTTGTTATATTATTATTGAAATTATTAATGAGTGAGGAGGACACACAGAGGAACCTTATCAATAGGTAAATACCTCTCAAACTGAAGAGCTTTTTCCTGCAATCCTCTGTGAGCAGAGTGGCCTCTAGGCGGCCATCTCACCAGCAATTGCAGTGCCTCCAGGGAGGGACCAAAGCCAGCTCTACTGTTTGTTGCCCTGCAACTCTAGAATTTTTATCCAGAGGGAATATGTTAAAATAGGCACAAAAGGGGACAGTAATTCATCCAGCTAACACTAATTAAAAACCTGAACTGTGTAGAGCACTGACAGAAATTAGTAAGCAAGTATATTTGCTCTCAAAGACCTGGCTTGGTAGGAAAGACTAGTGATCATAGTGTGGTGTGATCCAGGTTTGTGGTCTGGGAGAGGATGGAGGAGGAGCAGTGAGTTCTGCCTTGAAGGAGAGTGTTTCCAGAAACCTTTAGAGGAATGTCTTCAGGTGAGCCTTGGGGGATGAGTAGACAGACCAGGAATAATAAGAATTTCAGCCAGAAGGTGGCTGGAACTCAGAAGGAATATGTGATTAGGCACAGGGCAAGGAACAAATGTGTGAGGAAGCAGGAGACATAGTGAGGACCAGATCAGGAAAGGCCTTAGTCTCATTCCTAAGGACAGCTGAGAGCATTTAATTAAGTTGGTGAAATAAGCGAATTTGCATTTTAGAAAGAGCACATGAAAGATGTGTTTATTGAGGGGTGCCTGAGGGAGGAGAACAGAGCATGAGTTGACAGGGAAGAGGTATAAATCCCTGTACCACCTGTGGGGTGGAGTAGGCCTATGTTGAGAGGTGGGGCTGGTGGGAGTGGAGGAGGAGAGACAAGGATCTGAATGAAAAGGAGGCAACTTTATCTATTGTCAGAAACAAGGGAAACCCGGAAGACCACAATGAAGGGAATAACATGAAAAATTAGAAGTCAAGTGTAAGACTTAAGCTAAACATGGACTTTGGAGTCAGCGAGCCCCTTCTGTGCCATTTTCCAATCTTTGACCTTGAGCAATTCATATAACTTCTCTGGACTTGAACTGACTCACCTGGATATGAAGACTCAGTGAGCTAATGTATATGTCATGCTTAGCAGGGTGTCTGGCACTCAGTAAGCACTTGCTTGTATTGGCAGAACAGGATGCAGAGGTGATAGGACTGAAGAAGTGAGCTCTGAGCACTTGTGAAGCTGAGCAGTCAGCTGCTTTGAACATGCACAGTCTGCCAGACTTTACCTTGGAGAACCAGATTCTCCCTGCTGGCTGCTTCCTTGGTCACACCAAGCTCCCAGCCTGGCAGGAGGGGCCCCAAGCGCACAAATGACAGGAGTACACAGGTTCCCACACATTCCTGAGCAGCTGTCCTGGTCACCCTCTTCTGCATGTCTGGGGATGAGAGTGCCCTTCTGAGCGAAATTTAATTATGTTTGAGACTTACTATTTGCTTTAATCAGGTTAGAAGTTCAGCTCATTTCTGGACAAACCTTGTGAACAAGTAAAGATTACACTATAGAAGGCAGTTCAGCATCAGGACTCAGGACTTAAATGGTCTGGCAGGAAATGGCTAATGCATGGTCACTGAAGTCCAGAGATTTCACTGAGTCAAGCCAGAGAGCTAAGGCCCTGAGATACTTGACAAGTCAAGTGAGACTTCAGGTAAAACCTCAAACTGTCACTCATCACACTGGAGCTATACTTCTTTAAGCCACTGATGCTAGCATAATTAATTACCTTCCTGCCCTGATGTTTCTTAAGTTTGAGAAAGAGGATTAAAATGAATGAAAACCAGGATCACATTAACTTCCACCTCTATTCAAAGCTGTTTTATAGATTAGGGAGAAAAATGAGGAGAGAGGAATAGGATATACAGGGAGAAATCAGGGAGGTAGAGAGAGGGAACAGCAGAGAAGAAAAGCCTCAGAGTGAGGCAGAGGAAGAGGTGTGGATGGGAAAAGAAGTGGCAGTGGCAGGAGGAGCCCTGGGCCATGAGAGAGACTGGGGGGAGTGGGAAGGAAGGGAAGTTACGAGGCGGGGACACAGAGCAGAGAACAAGAAAGTAAGACTGGAGAGATAAAAGAAACAGTGAGACAGACCGAGATAAGAAGAGCAGTCTCATGCTTAAGAGACAGGGCGTGCCTGTGACAGGGTGAGAGCTGAAGGACTGGACATGGTCACTGATTCAGAGGGAGGGAGGGGTGCAGGCAGAGGCCGAGCTCCAGCACATTAGCACATGCTATGGAAGTACTGTCCACAATGGTGGCCACTAGTCAAGTGTGATACTTTTAATGACTCTGTTGTGGCTGAGGATCTAATTTGTAATTTTAATTTCATTTTTAACTTAAATATCCATGTGTGGCTTGTGGCTGCTGTATTAGGAAGTGTAGATCTGAAGAGAGGAAGAGAAAAAGGAGAGAGCACTAGAGTCACACAGCAGGGGAAGAGGTCGAGAGCAGGACCCTCCAGCGGACATAGAACCAAACCATGCACACGCTTTTAAACATTCTAGTAACAGCATGAAAAAGGAATAGGGAAATTAAGTTCAGTAATATATTTTATTGAACACATGACATCCAAAACATTACCATTTTCCAACAAGTAATAAATATGAAATTCTATTAATAAGACATTTTACATTTTCTTTTTCCTACTAAGGCTTCAAGATCCAGTGTGCATTGAGACTCACAGTACCTCTCAGTTTGGCCTAACCACATTTCATGGGCCTGGGGCTACCAAACTGGACCGCCCAGGTCTAAAGAGATTGGTCTAGAGCCAGCAAAAGCTCTGGGGAGACCTGATCTAAAGTTAGAGGGAGCTTTAAAAAGATACTGAGTCAGAGACCTGTCTAGAGTCAGAGCACTCTAGAGTATTGCTCTTCAGTAGAACTCGCTGTTAATGGAAGTATTTCTTATCTGCATTGCTGCAGCCACTAGCCACTGAGTGACTACTGAGCACTTAAAATGTGGCTGATGCAACTGAGGAACCAAATTTTCAACTTAAATTCATTATAACTGATTTAAATGCAAATAGTTGCATATCTAGTGGCTGTATACTGGACAGCACAACCCTAGAGACAGAGCTACTGAGTAGAGAAACTGAAGGATACAGTGGTGGTACATGTGGGAAATGGGGCGAGAGTCTCACTTGGGCAAGAACGAACCAAGAGGAACAGGATTCATGATGGTGGGTGAGACAGGGGGAGTGAAAAATACAAGGGAAGAAGAAGGGAAGTAGGATATTGTGGGAGTGAGAACAGGATAGTGAGAGACAAGAACATCATCAAGGGTGGATCAGCTAGGACAGACAGAGGGAGACACAGCATGCAAGAGAAAGACAGAGACAGAACATAAGACAGGATGAGGGGACCTAAAGTGGTGGAGTGGGCATCAGAGGGACAAAGGAGGAGGCAATGAACCAACACAGAGACAGTGGGGACGGAGAGTCGGGGGAGAGGGACATGGTGTGGGTGGCACAGGGAGCAGGGACACAGTGATAGGAGAGAGAGGACAAGTGAGAGAGAGGAAGGAGAGAGGGCCGTGGGAGGGAGCTGGTGGGAGATTGAGCTGTTCCTCCTTTGTGTAGCTATCTCAGTATCATTGAAAGAAAGTGGCCTTTCCCAAAGCCTCTCTGCTGGGTGAAGCCATCCAAAACATTTCATTTTTCTAAGGGAAAAACAACTCTGCCTCCATGCACACCATCTATTGTTTTGCATTTAGTAGGCCTGTCATGTGCCCAATCAGAGGAAGGTCCAGCCGCCAATGTGTTATATCATAGCCTTGATGGAGTAGCCTCCCCCATGTCTGGTGTGGTTGGGTATAGCCCCTGCCTTCACTCTAGTTCCCCTGCCCAGGGAGTGCAGAGGAAGGGATGGCACCTTTTAGGCCTGCAGTGAGTCATCTCTGCCTGAACTAAGCCCATTCATGCTCCGTCACCTTCTAGAATATGAAGTCCTCATGTGTGGGAGGATAGCTCTGTTCCCTTCCCGGTATACATTCCTTTTCTTTAGCATGGATGTGGCTCTTCATTAAAAGAGATCAGTTCAGTACTCTGCTCCCTGCCTGTGCTTTTTCTAGCATGTGATCCGAGGGAACCGCCCCATCAAAACTGAGATGGCCCATCAACTGTATGTCCTTCAAGTCCTAACCTTTAACCTTCTGGAAGAAAGGATGATGACCAAGATGGACCCCAATGACCAGGTAGGTGCTAAATGGGACAGCTGTTTTCTCATGGCTGTGGTGCAATCCAGCCTTAGTCTGTGTGCCAGGCACTGTGCTTGGTCTTTGTCTGTAGAAGTAGTTTGCATCTGCCCTGGAAAATCTAGCATGATCTGCACTATGAGCCAAGCGCATTTCTGTCCTGCTGTGGTAGAGCTGATGCCTCCTAAGGGATTAATTGGGGCCAGAGTTTAGCCCAGAAAAGCCTGACTCACTGTTTCTTTTCCTTGCTCCCTTGGCTAGCCGACTCACCTACTGACTGTTTCACCTAACAGGCTCAAAGAGACATCATATTTGAACTGAGGAGGATTGCATTTGATGCAGAGTCTGACCCTAGCACTGTCCCTGGAAGTGGGACCGAAAAACGCAAAGCCATGTACACCAAGGACTACAAAATGCTGGGATTTACCGTATGTACCGTAGAGCATAGACAGTGGGAGGCCCTCTCCCCTGATGGGAAGTCAGTGGTCCCACCCAGACAGAGCCCTGACAACCCCATGGTGGCCCTGCAACAGATGACAGTTAGGAAGCTGGTGGGGCCTCAACATGTGCTTTGCTTTGTTGATGGTGAGTCTAAGTTTATGTGCAAAGTTTGGCCTTGTGAAACAAATCCATCTGTAGCGGGGTTGGGGTCAGCTAGAGTGGGTAGAGAGGGGACCTGTCCTCTTACCCAAACTGCTGGGTTATTTGCAAAGCTAGTATGAATATTTTGTGATAGAGTAGGGCTTGAGGATGGGGTTAGCTGGAAGAAATATTTTTTGCATACCTACTTAGTGTCCAGCAGCATGCAAGGTAGGTTCTGGGATGCATGGTGAGGCAGCCACCATCCAGCACTCAGGACCTCACGGTTCGTGATGGGTGTGAAAAGAGCTAGGACAGAGGTGGGTGCTGAGTGGTAGCAGCATCAAGAGGAGAGGCGAGAGGGCATCCCTCAGGTCCCTGCATACTGGGAGACTACCACATCTCAAATTGGGTGTCTTTATTTCTCTAGAACCACATCAATCCAGCCATGGACTTTACCCAGACTCCTCCTGGAATGCTGGCCTTGGACAACATGCTGTACTTGGCTAAAGTCCACCAGGACACCTACATCCGGGTAAAGGCAGTGGCGCTGGCCTTCTCAGTCCTGGTGCCACGTTTCCTGCCTTCCTCTCTCATCTCCCTAATCCTCCCTTTCTCTTTCCCCCACAGATTGTCTTGGAGAACAGCAGCCGGGAAGACAAACATGAATGCCCCTTTGGCCGTAGTGCCATTGAGCTCACCAAAATGCTCTGTGAAATCCTGCAGGTTGGGGAACTACGTAAGTCTCTGCAGCTCCCTCTTCTTCAGCCATTCCTTGTCATCAAGAGCTCAATGAGACTCGAAATTATAAAGTTAGATGTCAGTGGGGTTGGGTGTGGTGGTTCACACCTGTACTCTCAGCACTTTGGGAGGCCAAGACAGGAGGATCACTTGAGCCCAGAAGTCCAAAACCATTCTGGGCAACATAGTGAGACCCTGTCTCTACAAAAAAAATCAAAAAATTAGCCAGGTGGTAGTGCACGCCTCTGGTCCCAACTACTCAGGAAGCTGAGGCAGGAGGATCGCTTTTGTCAGGAGGTCAAGACTATAGTGAACATAGTTGTGCCATTGCATTACAGCCTGGGTGACTGAATGAGACTCTGTCTTAAAAATAAAAAGGTGACGTCAATGAGACTAGACAACCTTAGGTGGGTTTTAATTTTACTTTTTGTTTTAAATCACTGCATCAGCTGGTAATTCCATCTTATCCTTGTTTATGGGAATCATGGTTGTTGCTTTGAGCTGGCAATTTGAGCCATATTCCAAAGATACCCCATGCCTGTGGGTAACGGCTGGCTGAGTCCGTAACAGGGCAGAGGCAGAGCAAGAAAACGCACCCTGTAGAAGAAAGCTAAGGAAGTGAGAAACGCCCATCCCATACTCCTTGTTAGCTGCAGTCCTTGGTCTGCTGTTGTTCCTCGGGACATTGGTGCAAAGTTTCTGGACAGGAGCTCCCAGGCTCTTGTGGACAGAGGTTTCATCTTCTCCCTGTGTTTTTACTTCCATAGCAAATGAAGGACGCAATGACTACCACCCAATGTTCTTTACCCATGACCGAGCCTTTGAAGAGCTCTTTGGAATCTGCATCCAACTGTTGAACAAGACCTGGAAGGAGATGAGGGCAACAGCAGAGGACTTCAACAAGGTCAGTGTCTCTGGACCGCTCTGAGGCCCATGGGAGGAGACCATCATACGACAGCCTCTGACAGCTGGCTGGCACCTGGAGAATCCCTGAGCTGGAAAAGCAGCTTGGTCTGCAGAGCTGAGTCACAAGACTGAGGCATTGGGGAACCTCAGCTCCATCTGGTTGTTGCTCCCTCTGTGACCTTGAGCTTGTCTTCCAATTGGTGCCGTAGGCCCTCATTTGTCCATTGAAGTTAGCACCTGTCCCTCCCGCCCTCCATCGAGGTCAGGAGGATAAACACAGAAGACTCACTGTGGTTTGTTAAGTGCTTACTGTGCAGGCACTGCTGTAGTTTTGTGGACTGGGAATGTCAGGAAAGAGTGGACTGGCATGACATGCACACCCTTGGTACTTAATTGACAGTGGTCCCTTGGTGCTTTCAGTCCCCACGCTATGCAGAGGACTGTTGTGCCAGGCCCTCAAAGATTGATCATCTAGGGGTTGAGCATTGTGAAGCTGATCATCTCATCATAAAAAATTTAGAAAGTATAAAGAAGAAAAAGTTACCTGTAATTACAACATCCAGTGACAAACATTTTTGTTTTCCTTTAGTCTTTTTTTTCCCTGTAGGTTTTTCCTTCCTTAGTGAGATCATACTGCACACGTAGTGTGGTATCCTGTTGTTTTCTTTAACAGTTGTCTTAGGGGAACTAATGCATATTTTTAAAACACCACATGTGCCAGGCACTGTGTTTGCCTTTCATGCGTTGTCTCATATTCTTTTTTTGTAGACAAAGAGTTTCGTTCTTGTTACCAAGGCTGGAGTGCAATGGTGCTATCTCAGCTCACTGCAACCCCCACCTCTAAGGTTCAAGTGATCCTCCTACCTCAGCCTCCTGAGTAGCTGGGAGTACAGGCGTGAGCCACCACAGCTGGCTAATTTTTGTATTTTTAGTAGAGACAGGGTTTCACCATGTTGGCCAGGCTGGTCTCGAACTGCTGACCTCAGGTGATCTGCCCGCGTCAGCCTCCCAAAGTGGTGGGATTACAGGCATGAGCTACTGCAACCAGCTGGTATCTCACATTCTTTAAGGCAACATCTATCGGGAGATGTGTCTCCCTTTCTCTCAGTTTAGAGATGAGTAGATGCATACCTAAGGATGTTAAGTTACTTGCTGAAGGGACAGAGTCAAAATGTGAACCCATTTCTTTGTGACTACAAAAATGTATGCGCATTTTCCCACACCACTGACCAATTGAAATATATGAGAAATAAAGCATCTATCAGTGTCAGTCATGTGACCTCAATAGCCATCTAAGAAGGCATATCTTCCTACAGATGTCTGTAGTGCCTACCCTGCTGAAGACACTGGGGTAGGAAAGAGCCTTGGTACTCCATAATAGGCCTGTCCATTTCTCAAGAGTAGTGGTGCCAGTTGGCTGGGTTCTTCTCCTCTTAGGTTATGCAAGTCGTCCGAGAGCAAATCACTCGAGCTTTGCCCTCCAAACCCAACTCTTTGGATCAGTTCAAGAGCAAACTGCGTAGCCTGAGTTACTCTGAGATTCTACGACTGCGCCAGTCTGAGAGGATGAGTCAGGATGACTTCCAGTCCCCGCCAATTGTGTAAGTGCTATCTCAGGGGAGGCTGGCTGGGGGGTGGCCACCAGCTCTGCTTTCCTTCTGGAGCTCCACTGTCCCCTAGACCTTCCGCTCACTCCAGTGTGTGTCCGCCCCAGGGAGCTGAGAGAGAAGATCCAGCCTGAGATCCTTGAGCTGATCAAGCAGCAGCGCCTGAACCGGCTCTGTGAGGGCAGCAGCTTCCGAAAGATTGGGAACCGCCGAAGGCAAGGTGAGAGGAGACATGGGGCACTCCTTGGTGCCGGGAGGAGCCTGCCTGGATGACCCCTTTTGTGCCCAGGCCTTTCCCAGTACTGTCCTTGCTCACCTGTTTGGCTTCCATTGTGTTCCAGAACGGTTCTGGTACTGCCGGTTGGCACTGAACCACAAGGTCCTTCACTATGGTGACTTGGATGACAACCCACAAGGGGAGGTGACATTTGAATCCCTGCAGGAGAAAAGTAGGTTCATTTCTCAGTTGATGTGTCATGGTTGCTGAACTTGTCAGGAGACAGGAGTTCTAGTCCTGGCTGTTTCTGGCTGATCATCTGGGCTTATATCTGTTAACCTCTCTGGACCTGTTTCCTTATCTCTACCTGGCCTGCTGGTGGGGTGATTTGGAGAATTAATGAGTTCACAGGTGTGAATGTGTTGTATAGATTGAAAATGGTGGTATAAGACTAATTTGAAAGGCAGTAGTTAAGAACAGAAGCTCTGAAAGCCAGACTGGCTAAATTCAAATCTTGGCTTTGCTCCTAATTAACTTGAATTCTAATTAATTGCAGGTTAGTTCTCCCCTCTGCCTTGGTTTCTTCCCCTCATTGCCATTATGATGAAGAGGAGGGAGGGGAGTCACCAAAGTCCCATTCCTTGGGGATATAAATCCAAGAGCCCTGAAGTGACCCTCAATTAGCTTTGACACAGCCTTACTGGGCCATGGTCTACAGGAAGTGACCAAGAAGGAGGGAGCAGTACAAGGCCACCCTTCCCCCCACCCTCACTGAGCTCAGACAGCAGCCCTTGAAGTTTGGGGCTTAGGCTTCCTGAGCATCTGCCCCAGTGCCTCCCTTCCAGCACTGATGCAGGCACTGACAGCTTGCAGCATGAACTTCCAGAGACTAATTCCCATCATTTATCAGTTCCTGTTGCAGACATTAAGGCCATTGTCACTGGGAAGGATTGTCCCCACATGAAAGAGAAAAGTGCTCTGAAACAGAACAAGGTGAGTGGAGAGGCCAGTTTGAGTAGCTGGCCCAGTGATACTTGGAGAGTGCCATTGGTGGTGGGTTTTTTCCAGGTGGATTCTTGCCATCTTTCCCTCTCTATTCCTGAATGTTTTCAGAATTTTGAACATACAAAAAAATATATGGAACCTCTTTATATGCATCACTCAGACTCAGCAACCATGGCCAATTCTGCCCATCCACTTGTTTCTCTCCTTTATCACTTTGAAGAAAGTCCCAAGTATCACATTGTTTCATCTATAAATATTCAGTGTACATCATATAGCATATAACATAACCACCAGTCCATTAGCACACATAACAGGAAATGAAAGTAGTTAGATCAGATACTCCACCAATGTTGACTTTCTACCAATTGTCTTACATCATAATTTCTCTACAGATATATAAATGTTTATACACACACACACCTTGTTTAAACCAGAATCTAAGTAAGACTCATGTTTTAAGTTTCTTAATTCATAAGTTCCCCCCATCTTTTCCTTTGCAGTTTATTAGCTGAAGAAACCAGGTTGCTTGTTTGGTAGTTTCCCAGCATCTGAATGTTGCTGATTGTTTCCCCATGGTACAGTTTAACTTGTTCGTCTGCCCCAGATCTGTAAATTGGCAGAGGGATCTAGAGGTTTGATCCAGTTCAGGTTGGACTTTTTTCTGGCCAGACAACGTCATCAGTGGTATTTTGTTCTACCAAGAGACACATAATGTCTAGTTGTCTCTTCTTTTGTGACATGAGCAGACTGTTGAAGCTCAGTGCCTCATTCCATTAGTCAACTAAGGTTTGCAGACTCATGGTATTTTGATGCAGTCATTCCTTTTCATTTATGAGCTGAACCATGAAACTTGCCCTTATCTACTATTGGTTTCCAAGTAGTACAATCTGTATAGGAAACCAGAATAAATGCTGATTCTTCTTTTATGTACCTACTTTCAAAACAATGAGTTAGTTCCCTGGTATCATGCAGTAGTGACCAATTGTGCGTGCAGGCGCGCGTGTGTGTGTGTTTTGTTAAGACATTCCTATGCCAATTACAGCATGATAGAAGTTGTCAGTCATCTTGGTAATATAAAAACTTTTAGGATAACTTACAGTCATGGACTCTGACCTTCCAGGTTTCTGAGTGTTGAAAATGACTTTTTTCCAATCTTAAAAATATCCCATCATCTGTGGTGTGACTTGGGCAGGGAATGGGTAAGTTAAGGTTGATTCACGCTGGGCTTCATCTCCAGCCACACTTGTGGCTGCCTAAGAGCACTGATGACATTCATCTGAATCAACATGTTTGGTGATGAAGCCAAGTCACTAGGACTTTGGCCAAGATCTTGATGTGCAGACCCCAGGCTGTTCCATTGCTCTAATTTAAACCCTTTCTTCTTCAGGAGGTGTTGGAATTGGCCTTCTCCATCCTGTATGACCCTGATGAGACCTTAAACTTCATTGCACCTAATAAATATGAGGTGAGCAGTGTGGCACTGCCTTGGACAGCAGAGCCATTTCTGTAACTCTTCAGTTGGTGGCAGGAATGAGCAGAACAGGAACGTCCTCTGTGGTGGGTGGCTGCAGTGTATCATGAAGGCTGTAGAATGCCAGGGATCTGCCACACTCTGGGTTGTTTATCGGTGAGCTGGGCTCTCCACATGACTCTTCAGCAGCAGCCACAGGTTGTCATTACAGAGATAAGGTCAGTTAGGAATGAATCATTTACCTGGGACCAGGAAAATCCTCCCCTTTTCAGTTTCTCTGTGGTCAACTATCCAAGAGAACTTGACAGATTTCCTCCTAGGTGCTGCTGGTCACATGATGTAGTGACTCCAGTGTGGACTTTAAAGCCAGATGGAACAGGTCCTTCTGACAAGGGGCTTGTAATTCCAGCTGCAGCACTGGAAGATACTAGTTATTAAATGAGTGACTGCATTTGAGACCCTGTGTGTCTGGTGAGCTCTGAGAGCCATCAGTGGGAACTAGAGGTGGGGCTTCTGGAAGAGGAGACACCTGGGTAGGGCCTGAGCTGCTGCTAGTGGAATTTTGTTGGGAGGAAATGAAGAACAATCAGGTAGGGAACCAAGTGAGCAACAGCATGGAACAAGGAAAATGGCAGCAGAGGAAGCAGGAAGAGTTAGGGAGCGGTAGGATCAGAAGACTTCCTGGTTACACCCTCTTAGCATGAGACCCTCCAGTTCCATTTCTTTAGTACTTTCTTTTTAATATGTATTGACTAGATTGTTTTTAATTTACTTTTTTGGGGTGCGGGGAACAAAATTGAGATCCCATGTTGCTTCTTTTCACCTAATACATATTTCCCTTCTCTCGCTTCTGATTTTGGGGTAACTTCAGGTAGATGATGCCCTGGTACTCAGATCTCATTTTGCTGTATTAATTCATTGCATTTTTAGGTTCTATTTCATATTTGGAATGATTGCTATCATTCCAAATCAGTTTTGCCTATACTGATCAGTTCCAAAAGGAACTGTTGTGAGTCCCATCACAGAAGAGACCTTGGCAGGATCTCCTGCTGACCAGGGGTCACCATGTGACATTTTGCAATTTGTTCCCTACAGTACTGCATCTGGATTGATGGCCTCAGTGCCCTTCTGGGGAAGGACATGTCCAGCGAACTGACCAAGAGTGACCTGGACACCCTGCTGAGCATGGAGATGAAGCTGCGGCTCCTGGACCTGGAGAACATCCAAATTCCCGAGGCCCCACCCCCCATCCCCAAGGAGCCCAGCAGCTATGACTTTGTCTACCACTATGGCTGAACCTGGAGCCAGAAACGACGGTACCCAGGAGAAGGGATTTGGCCCAGGAGAAACACTTAGTCTGGTGCCTTGTCTTTCGCTTGTACAGAATCTGTAGTGATTTTGGTGGCCAGTAAATGCCAGCCATTTCTCAAACCCACCTCGGACCACCCAGAGTTTCCTCTTGGTCCCTGTCTACTAAGAGTCATGAAGACAGGGTGCTCTGCCCCCTCCATCACCATGAAGCCTGGGATTGGGCCATGAGGAACAAACAGCGATGCCCTTGCCTTCCAGTCCAAGAAACTGCTTCCTGAAATGGATTTAACAACAGCCACTCACCTTTTCTTCCTGAGCCTGCTCTCTGATCAGCTGGATCCCCTCGTGAGCAAGAGCTGGCCCAGGAAAGGCTGCCTGCAGAGGACAGGTGTGCTGGGCGTGTCTAGAGCCTTGGAGTGACTGCCTGTATCTCAGATCTGAGTACAGGCCTGGGGCCTTTGCTTCTCTCTTTTTTGGTGAGGGCTCACTCCAGCTTCATATGGTGCCAAGATGTTGCTGCTTCTGAAGCTGGCTCTAACATCTGTGGTCTTTAGAGCCACCAGATTTCTCTGGCCCATACAGATATCAGAGCAGATGGAAATTTCTCCCTGCGAGCTCTCAGACTCATCCTGGCAAGTCAAAGACCTCCAGGCCAAGTCCTGCCCTCTTAAGTCTCCAAGAATGCTGCAGGGAAAACCCAGCTGAGGCCTGGGCCTAGACAGTGGTGAGGTCATTAGATTCTGTCCCTCTCCCCCCACATTTATACCCTTTCCTTCCTCAGAGAGAAATCTCCCACCTAACCTGAATTGCAGCCCCCTCCAGTTTGCTTTCCTTTGGCCTTCCAGACCCCAGGAAGTTTGCCTTCCCTTCCTAGCGCTATGGTTTCTGCCATTGGCCATGATTTCAGGGAGCTGGCCGAGGCCGGCCGAGGCCACACCTGTACCAGTGGGGCTTCCCTGGTGCTGCAGCACTTGTAAACCACACACACAGCCTCTCTCCCTGGACATACGTTAGCACATTGGCATTCAGTATTGGTGGCCTGGCATGGTAGGTACTACCCAATGAAGAGTGTACTATATATTTTCTTTACTATAGGCCATACTTATACAGACGTGTATATATATTTATATAAGATCTACCTATCTTACGGTGGAACCTTGGAGGAAAATAAAATTGAGGGGAAGTAAAAAGTACGTAACACTTCCAGTTGTGAGCCAAGATTGTAACCAGAGAGCAGCCAGGAGCTTCCTGTCAGTAACAATGTTTTCAATAAATACTCTTTCATGTACAAACTGTGGTTCCTACTAACAGCTGTTTGTCTGTACTTGCTCCCTGCCCAAGGGTGAAGATTTCACCTTGACAAGACTTCATCGCAGTGTGTCTGGGAGACTCTGGAGAGCTCCAGCTGGAGCCCTTAGTCACCTTCCAAGAGTCCCTTCCTCCTCCTCATTCACTCCTCCCACACATACACACACACAGACACATACCTGCTGGTGAAGTATGCTCACAGATTGTTGTACTGGGACAAAGCGTTTCTGCTCAACCCTGCTGGGTACAGCAGCCTAAGGCATACTGTACACCCCCATGAACACATCCTGCCTCTTCTCCCTGCCAGGGACACAGCCAGGCAACAACTCGAGTACTTGTGCCTTACAAAGAAGACATGCTCTTTACCCTGTGTGTTGCCTATGCTTAGTGCCCAGCCTTCCAGCTGGTGTTTTAGGCTGTTGCTCCAAACCTTGGCCTTGGTAGCTGGGAGGCTTGAATGAGGGTGGTGATAAAAATAGATTACTTTCTCTTGCCTCTGAGAGAGAAGGGTGTGAGGAAAAGCTCTTTCAAAAGGTATAGAAAGTGCATGCAATACAAGCCTTGAGGGCTGAATAAAGCCAAGACCTTGGGCAGTGATGGGTACCATTGTAGGTGCTTGGTAAGCATTGAATGAACTAATGCCTGCAGGATGCCAGCTGGCGGCAGTGACGGCAGCAGTCTGCACAAAGCACCGCTTACACTCTGGCCTTGAGCCTTCTGTTCAGAGGGGCCAGGGAGCCCAGCTGAGTCACTTGCAAGGATCCATGTTTGCAGCTGGTCTTTGCCAGAGAACCCAGGAGGAGGCTGGAGGAGGGCAAAAAGCACAAAACTGGGTCTGAAAGTGCAACCCTAGCTTGCCCTGCCCTAATGATCTTGGCTGCAAATGCTGCCCTTTGCATCCATCCTGCAAGATGAAAATATGAACTCCCTAGGCTGGCATTTTGGGGCCACTGCAACCTGCCCCTTGGCTACTTTTGAACCACCACAGTTATAAACCTGTGCCCCAGGCACGGCTAGAGCTTTCTCGCCCTCCTTTAGGATTCTGCCATCTCCTCTATCTGGGATGCTCTCTCCCTACTCAACCTATTGAAATTGAAATAATTCTTAGAAAGTTTCATATAGAAAATATTTCACAAATGTTTCTTATTACTTCTGGATCGCCTACATTGTAATGTCCCCAGCTGGCTTGAGCGCCCAGAAGATAAAGCCCATGAGATACTTATCTTCGTGGTTCATTCCATGGTTGCCCAGCACTGGACTGGACATAAGAAAAACAATTTGTTCAGTAAAAGTAAACAAGTGACCGTTTTTGGATGCCCACTGTGTGCAGAACACTAGCAGGTACCGGGGTTCGAAAGCAAGCCCTTGCTTGAGCGCAGGAGAGGTGCAAACAATTATAATACACGGCTGTGCTCTGCGCCAGAGGGACTTCGCGGAGGACTAAACTGTGCTGTACCTCGAAAGGACCCGACCACCAAAGATGCCCCGCCCCCACCTTTTCTCCCCGGCTCCGCCCAGCCCCTGCAGCTTCCGGCGGAAGTTACCGACGCTGCCGCGGTTCGGCTGCGTCATCCGGTCTCACACTTCCGGTGGGAAGATTCCGGCCGGGAGTTCCCCAGGCCGAGGTGAGTGGCCGCGCGGCCGGGCGAGGTCTCGGGCTGGGTGGCCGGGGTTGGAGCCGGGAAGCGGGCTCTCCGCCCGGGCTCTGCGCGTTGGCATGGGGCACGTCACGCCCCTGTCCCTCCCCGGACCTCAGTTCCGCGGTCTGAGGAGGGGGCAGAGGTCTCCAAGCGCCTTCCTGTAGGGCACTGCCCCACGCCGGTTCATCTGGTATTCACTGAGCACCTGCGACGTGCTGGGCGCGGGACCCAGGCCGGAATCGGACAAGGCCCTGCCCTCGGAGAGGCTGCTTCCCGCGGTGGGGTTGGGGCGGGCAGTAAACACGTGAGCAAACAAGGAAACGTCAGAAGTGGGAAGTGCCACGAGGATTGGGAGGGGTGGGGCATTGGGGAAAGTATTCAGTCAGGCGGAGGTCTGCGGAAGGGTGCTGAAGGCAGAAAGAGCTGCAAGTAAAGAAAGACACAGGGTTAATGTGTTTGACACATGGCAGGGGGCCGCTGTAGGGGGTGCTGGGGCCAGTGGCAGAAGTATGCAGTTGCAGCGGCACGATCGTGAGAGGCCTTCCTTGTGGACCTGGCTGAGGAGTTGGGCTTAGCTTTGGGGCATGGTCTGTTTTGTGTGCCCACAGCATCTCTGGCTGCATTATAGATTCCAGGTCTTAGGGGTGAAAGAGGAAGCAAGTTAGACCAGTAGTAGTCAGGAGGTGAAAGATCATTGTGGCTTAGACTGTGGTAGTGGGAATGGAGGGGAATAGAAGTAGATGGGTCAAGAAGTGTATTGAAGGTGGAACTGGCAGGGCAGAATTTGAGAAAAGATGGAAATAAGTGGTCAAAGATTACTTCATCGTAGATTTTTGGTTGTGGCTTAAGTAACCAAGTGTATTATGCTGGCATGTACTAAATCACTCTGGGATAGATTGGGGACATGAGAAATAATTATGAAATCTTCTTAAGGCAACTTAAGTTTTAGATATTTGAAGTGCAGCTACCAAATAGGCAGTTAGATATTACCAGTCTGATACTTACAGAAAAGGTCAGGGCTGATCTAAAGAATTTAGAAATTATTGGTAAGTGGATTGGGTAGGATGAGATTATGTAGCGTAAGATTTAAGAGAGAAGAGAAGCCAGGTTCCACGCTTCAGGCACCAAATTTTTGTAGATTGAGTTGACAAGAAAGTGCCAGCAAAAAAGACCAAGAAAAAGTCCAGAAAAAAAACAGAAGAAAAACCAGGTGGATGTGGTATCATGGCACCCAAGAGAAGATTTTTTTCTAGGAGGAGGAAGTGATCCATTTTGTAAGATAAGCATAGAGACTAGGCCTTTGCCGGGGTAGCAGGGAGGAGGTGTGGTAGGTAACCCATCGGAGCAGTGGAGATGGGCTGAAGTGAGGACAGGAGGTGAAGGAGTGGAGCTGACAGTGAGGGACCCTCTGAGGAAGTTTCACCACAAGGGGACCAAGAGGGGAGTAAGCCTCTACCATGAGCCAGCATTTAATGCTGCACCTGATGCCACTTTACTGAGTCCAGAGGTCTCTCCCTTTATAGTTGGAGAAACTCGGGTCAAGAGGTCAAGTAACTTAGGGTCACACAGTAGTGAGTAGGGACAGTAAGAATTGATTATTGGTCTCTAACTCCAAAGCCCACACTCTTAAGCGCTAAACCATGCTGCCCAAGTTACAGTTAGGAAGACTGAGGGAAGCAGGTGCCACAGTGATGCACCAGCCAGCCTTAACTTGATGTGACTGCTGCCCCCAGCCAAGCTGCTCTCTGTGGAAAGTGGGGCAGAATATGGACTTTCCTTCCTGAGCAAATGAGATTTCGAAAAGAGCATTTACCCCTTTAAATCTTCTTTCCCTTATAAAATAAGGGTGGGCATCTTTTCAGTTTCATGTCTTTGTCTCCAATGGTGGGCCTACAGGAGTGCTTCATAAATGCCCATTAAGTGCCTAGATGATGTCCAGGGACCCCTCTAGCTGAGATTTGCCTTTGTGTTTGTGGATAGGTGACTGTCTGAATCCTAATAAGAAAATGAGTTAACTTTGAGACACTGCTCCTTAGGTGGGGTAGCCATGGGGACTTCTTGGAGGCAGGGGACCTGGGCCAGGTGGTGAAGGAAGGTCAGCATTTGAACAGTGGAGGAAGGGCGTTGCAGTGCTGCAGCAGGAAATGCAGCAAAAGCAGTAACTGCAAGAAGTTGATTAACAGAAGAGTAAACAAACTTTCCTGCCTTGGAAGCCACAGGAGGACCCATGAGGGGAGAGTGCCAGGAAGAAAGCTCTCTTAGTGCCAGCATGTCCTGTGATTGCCTGTCACAGAACAGGGTCAGCAGTGGTTCTTCACAGGGACCAGGTTTGGTCCCCAGCTTACATATGGCTGTGTTTATTTATTTTTTGTTTGTTTAGAGACAGAGAGAGAAACAGCTAACTCTCACACTGAGTGAGAGAATCCAGAAAGATGGAATCCAGGAGAGGAAAGCAGCTTCCACACTGAGTGGAAAGGAATAGAGAGAGATGGAGTTTAGGAGGGGAACACAGGCTTCCACGAGAGACTGTGGAAGGGAACCCCAGATGGGAAATCCAGGAGAGAGGAAGATTGCTCCCACAAAGGGAGTGTTCGTGGAAGGGATCCAAACATGGAGGCCATGGCTATGTTTAGAGACATTCTTGGGTATCACAATTTGGGATGGGGGAAAGGATGTGACAGGTGTCTGGTAGGTAGGGGCCAGGGATGTTGCTAACCACCTTACCATGTACAGGATGGGTCTTCTCCCAAAGAATTATCTGTCCCCAAACAAGGGGTATTGCCAAGATTGAGAAACCCTGGTATAGAGGAAAGAGTATGGGTTTTGTGGGGGTTTTTTGTTTTCTTTTGTTTTGTTTTGTTTTTGAGATGGAGTTTCACTCTTGTTGCCCAGGCTGGAGTGCAATGGCACGATCTCAGCTCACTGCAACCTCCGTAAGCTCTATAAGCTAGGATTACAGGCGTGCACCACCATGCCCAGCTGATTTTTGTATTTTTAGTAGAGATGGGGTTTCACCATATTGGCCAGGATGGCTCAATCTCCTGACCTTGTGACCCACCCACTTTGACCTCTCAAAGTGCTGGGATTACAGGCGTGAGCCACTGCATCCAGCCGAGAGTGTGGGTTTTGAGATCTGTAGATATGTTTGAGGGCCGTGCACCCCCTGTGTTGGAGGAGCTTACGGTGGTGGTCGCAGAAGTAGAGAGAACTGTGTAGGAAACTGCCACAGTCATTTGGGGAGAGGTTGCTGGCCGAGATGGTAGTGGTGGAGTTCAAGAGATGTGCTCATATTTGGGATATTTCTGAAGATAGAGCTGACGGTTATTGATTGAATGTGGGCTGAGGGAAAGAGAGGAGTCAAGAATGATCCGAAGGCTTTTGGCCTGAGCAGCTAGGAGAATAGTAGAGGCATCTGCTGGGATGGGAAGTAGGGAGAGTAGCAGGCTTGGATGAAGCAGGATGTGGAAAACAGGAATCAGTTCCGAACACTGTAGATGTGAGTGAGTTGCCTGATATTACACATTCAGGGAAAGAAGAGGTTCGGTAGGCATTGGATATTCTTCCAGAGTTCACAGGAATCAGAGCTGGAGTATACATTGGGAAGACATCAGCTTACAGAAGGCATTAGAAGGAATGAGACTGCATTAGGTCAGGTAGGAATCTCAACTCATTGGGTCTAACACCTCCTTTTTATTACAAATATTTTGTAACAGTCCCTTTTATTACCCTAAAATGAAACAAATGATTAATAAAAACTACCTACATATAATTTTAAAAAATCAACAATGCCCTATAACATAAAAGGAAAGTAATTGACAGTACAACAAAATATGTTTCAATATGTAAGTTCCTGAGCACAACAGTGTTGGAGGTCACAGTGAAGCAACAGTTGCCGTCCCTTCTGTGTGGACCCTCTGGGAGTGTGATGGCCACAGGCACAGACTGGCACAGCCATGTTGTGTTGTACCTCAAAAATCACTAGTGCTGTTGCCGTAGCTGATGGGATTTTTCCAGAATGGGAACTTTTGGTATCATTTTGACCATTTTGAGACAATTTTGACCATTCTTAAGTCTCCCTTCATTGTACACAGGCATCGTATTCTTGGAAATGTTAGTTCACAGTAGAACCGTGGAAAAACTGCCCTGTGTTTACATATAAACAGTTACATTCTAGGTTCAGATAATTGTAAGCTGATCTTTCACCTATATGAATGTCAGAGTCGTGCTGGATGCAGAGCAATATTTGGCTGTGTGGGCTGCCCCTTCCTCCCCGCTCACCAAACACCAGGAGTAACCCCCAAAATACCAGCACAGGTTTCCAAAGCTCCTCTCAAAACAGTTGTAGCCCCAGAGATTCCTTTGGACACAGCCACCTCCCTGTTTGCCCTGGGGAGGGGAAATGGTAACACAGGTTCCAGAGTGCAGAACGGAACGGAACAGCTCCCTTCAGAAAGGGTAGGAAGGGAGGTGGAAAGAGTGATCTTGAGCCTAGGAAGGCTTCAAGAAGAAGGTGGCATTTCAGCAAGACAGGAATGCCTCAAAGGAGGAGATGTGGTTGGGGGGAGGACACACAGATAAAGCAGCAGGTGTCGTAACACTGAACCTGAGGCTCCTCTGGGCACAGACAGGTCTACCCGGCATGCTCAGGGCGCTCATCAGAGTTGGCTGGATTGACAGGGAGGCTGGGAGTGGTTTCATTTGGCAAGACCAGTAGTCGGTAGTTGATAGAGTGTTACAGTCGTTAGAGTGTTGGTTTCCTGCTCCATTTCTAATCCCTAAAGACCAGACCAGTCCCCTGAAAATCACATGCCTGCTCTCTGTCAGTCATCAAACCAAATGGAGAACTTGAAGTATGCCAGGTGTGCGTAAGGCGGGTGTGGACACACTGGTCCCTATGTGCCACTCATAGTCTCTCAGCGGACACAGACATTCATTACTCAGATCACACCCTGCATGACTTCTGTGAAGTAGGGGAGTCATGAAAGCCACTTGTATCTCAGGGGACTGAATAAGGGGATGGGGCGGGGTCCCTGAAGAAGTGGCCTCTGAGCTGAAGATAGGTAGGATCGATGAGGAAGGACGGAAGGGTGGGCGTGGTGTTCATTCATTTCCTTCAGACGACAGGAAGGAAGCTGGTGTTTGGGGAGCTGAAAGGTTCCCAGTGGGGCCAGGTTCTGGAGAGCCTCTGGCTGAGACCAAGAAGACCAGCAGGGCCAGATCAGGCCATGGTAGCCCAAGGAAGCCTCCCGGGCTTTATCAGAAAAGTCCTGGAAGCTGCTGAAGGGTTTTAAGCAGTGGCCTGACAGGATCAGATTTGTGTTTTAAAAGGTCACTGGTGGCAGTTCATGGAGAATGGCTTGAGGTGACAAGAGAGCGGACATGGGTCTCTAGGAGGGCCTGTGCCCGTTTGGGTAGCCCCTCCGGAGCCCTGAGTCATGCAGCCTTCAGCGCCACCTGTGGCTGTGAGAAGCGCAGTCTCTGCCTACAGCTCCAGAGCTGCCCTTTGTCCCCAGCAGCAGACCTAGGGGCTGGTGAAAGCTGCATCCAGTTAACCATGGGAAGGCTCAGCACCAGCCACCAGCCCCTTAGGTGAGGACTCCGCCTGAGGCTCCGCTGATGGTTCCAAGTCATGGAGCTACAGAGAGCTCCTCCAGTCAGGAGACGTTCTTGGTGAAAGCTGTGGTCCCGCTCCGCCGGCTCTTCCTGCAAGTTGTCTTCAAGAGGGGTGCCTGCCCCCGCTGACTCAGGAGCTCGGGTGCTGCAGCCGCCACGAATGGGGAGGTGGGCTCTCGATGTGGCCTTTGTGTGGAAGGCGGTGTTGACCCTGGGGCTGGTGCTTCTCTACTATTGCTTCTCCATCGGTATCACCTTCTACAACAAATGGCTGACAAAGGTACCAGGAGGCCTTGCCGGGCAGGGTGCTGGGGTAGAGGTGGCTGGAGCTGTGGTTATGGTGCCCCTTCATGCTTAACAGGAAGGCACAAGCTTCCACTAGTCTAACTGGAAGCCAGTCACAGCTGGGGTGGAACAGGGCCCTCCAAGCCCACTACACCAGGGTTCCCTGTAAATGTTTGGATCCAGGGGAAACCAAGGAGAGCAGGCGGTGTGAAGGGATGAGCTGGGGAAACTGGGGGCTCAAGCAGCAGCCGTTGACCCTGCTAGGGAAGGATTTCAGTATTTTAATCAGTGATACAACACAGTGGCCTGCAGCGGCTCTGACTTGAAGGTGTGTGGAAGCTCGAAGGTGTGTGGAAGTGGTGGAGACAGCCCCAGGCTAGAATTGAGTCTCTAGGCTGCCACCTGTCTTTGTGACCTTAGAGTCTGTCATTCCAAGCGATGATACTGTAACTAAAGGCCCTACACACACAGCAAGGTCCTCATGAACCACCAAGTGAGCCCCACTCCAGGAGAGGGGCAAGAAAGAGGGAGCTGCTGGGGGGTAGGCTGTCAAACCGAGCTGGGGTGTCTGCTTTGGGCTCCATACAGAGCTTCCATTTCCCCCTCTTCATGACGATGCTGCACCTGGCCGTGATCTTCCTCTTTTCCGCCCTGTCCAGGGCGCTGGTTCAGTGTTCCAGCCACAGGGCCCGCGTGGTGCTGAGCTGGGCGGACTACCTCAGAAGAGTGGCTCCCACAGGTAGGTGGGGGGACCCCGGGCAGGGCAGGGCGGGAAGAAGGACTGGAGAACTAGGACAAGGACAAGAGAGACGCTCCCATGCTGGAAGCCGAGTCCCTCCCCTTTTCCCGCACTGTTCCTCCCTTGCCTTCTTGGCCTGGCCTCCCTCCGCCCACACTGCTGCCTCAGTGTGTGTCTTCCTGCTGCCCCATCACATACACACAAACCCCCTGCTGCACCCACGGCCCCGCAGCTCCCTCGCCCCACAGCAGACACCGAGCCTGGAGTGCAGCCCTGAGGCCTGGAGATAAGTGGTGAGCAGGCAGGGTCCCTGCCCTCAAAGGGCTGTGACATGGACATGGAGGGCACTGGTGGAGACCAGGGAGGGGACCGACCCAAGGCCAGGGCCCAAGGCTGGTGGAGGAAGATTTCCTCGGTCAGATGCTGAGTAGGTGGAGGCCTGAGGGATGCATGGGACAGGATGGCCCTGGGAGGAGGGGTCTTAGTGGCTCCAGTGAGGTTTAGTGTCAGCTCTGGGGTCTGGAAGGGAGCTCAGTGTTTCAGGATGCTAAGAACCCGGTGCTGGCCAGAGGAAGTGGGAGAAATGAGAACCAAGAGGGTGGGCAGGGATCACGTCCTCGAGGCCGGGTTCCCCATGGAGGAGTTGTGTTCCATTCTGAGGAAAACGGGTTTCCAGTAAGGAATTGACTGGATTGGGTTAATACCTCGGCTCAGGGGATAGCCGGAATGTTTGTGGAAAGCACACCTCGCCCAGCCAGTCGGAATGGGCCCAGCCTTAATGCTGGAGCATCCCCCTACCCCTTTGGGGACAGATATTAACCCTTCAGTTGCTGGTGGAAAAGAAGGCCAGAGGGCCCCATAGGAGGAGCCGGGATGGTTCAGAAGTGGGGGGCGCTTAGGTGCCTCAGGGTGGCAGCCCACCCCAGCAGAATGTGGACCTCCTACACTGTCCTGTGGGTGCCCTTGTCTCCACAGCTCTAGCGACGGCACTTGATGTGGGCTTGTCCAACTGGAGCTTCCTCTATGTCACTGTCTCGCTGTGAGTACCAGCCATGCCCTGCCACCTCCCTTCAGGCTCAAGCTCTCTGTCTGTCCAGCGGGCTGTCTGCATGCCTGGCTGCCAGGCCAGCTACTCCACTACTCTCTGGGACCAGCCCCTGCTCTCTCAGCCTCTCCCTGGCACCCAACAGCTCTCCGGGAAGTCGCCAACCTTTTCCGTAAGCCCAGCGCAGAGGGGATGCTGTGCCCACCTGCCAGGCAGCATGGGGAAGCCAGGGAGCTCACCCAGAACCCCCACCACCAGAGCAGGGGAGGGCAGGCTGCAAGGCCACAGACAGGCGGCCACTGATGGGTGGTACATGCAGCCACAGCAGAGCCCTGTGTGGCCTGGGAGCCATGCAGGAGTTTCTTCCATGTGATGTTTTGCCTTCTCATCCTCCCACTTGTCATCCTTCCTTCCCTCTCCTGGGCTCCGCTGAGGGTTAGTTAAAGAACAGGACTCAGAGAGCTCAACGTCAGGCTGCAGCCTCTTCTCCCTGGTAGTAACCAGTGGCCTCTTAGTCAGAGATTCCTTCTGATTAAAGGTCGCTTATCAGCCCAGATGACTTAGCCCAGCTTCGTTTGGTCATTTGAACCCAGGTTACCCCCAGGGAAGTCAGAGAGTCGACACCCATCTCTCCAGCTCAGTGATTTGTGCTCTGGCTCCTTTCTTGGTGACGGGTCTGAGCACTGGACTCGAGCAGTGCATTGTGGGTAATTTTTGCTTCCAGGTACACAATGACCAAATCCTCAGCTGTCCTCTTCATCTTGATCTTCTCTCTGATCTTCAAGCTGGAGGAGCTGGTGAGGCCCAGCTTCTCTTTTGTCCCTCCTGCCCCCACAGATGCTAAGAATAAAAGGGGAATCTAAGCAGTGGCTTGTCCCGCTGTGTGACAGAGGAGAGGAGACAAGCCCAGCCCAGGTGGCAGTAGCTCGCTTCCCGGGAAGGGACCTAGACACAGGCAATAATGACCGAAGGAGAAAGCGCTCCAGGATGAGGGTCCCAGCAGAGCTGGTTCTGGGACGCTCCCTGCTGTGGGAGGCAGTAGCCGTGTGTGTTAGGCCCAGGGGAGGAGGTGGGGCCACTTAGGGGCCTAGGACAGTTGTCAGTGTGGCAGAGTGAGCAGGGCTGTTGGCATACCAGCTGACCATCAGCCCTGCATGGATGGGTGGGCAAGGACTGTCCAGGACCCCCTGGGGTAGAGTTGGAGGGTAGAAGGATTTCCTGCCCCAGGGGCTGCTGACCCCAGACTCCGAATGTGATGAACCCTTGACCCTGAAGACCCCTAAGTTAGCTGCCACTGCCTCCCCATCCTCCCAGCGCGCTGCACTGGTCCTGGTGGTCCTCCTCATCGCCGGGGGTCTCTTCATGTTCACCTACAAGTCCACACAGTTCAACGTGGAGGGCTTTGCTTTGGTGCTGGGGGCCTCATTCATCGGTGGCATTCGCTGGACCCTCACCCAGATGCTGCTGCAGAAGGCTGAACTCGGTGAGCATGTGCCACTCACCCTCCAGAGGGAGGAACCCTGGCACAGGCAGGGTGGAGGCAGCGCAGGGTGGGCCAGACCTGATGGTGCCCATCTCCCACCCTGCAGGCCTCCAGAATCCCATTGACACCATGTTCCACCTGCAGCCACTCATGTTCCTGGGGCTCTTCCCTCTCTTTGCTGTATTTGAAGGTATGTTGGGCCATCCCTCTCAGGGTCACCCCAGTGTAGCAGACCACAGATTCCTGCCCTGAGCCCAACACAGTGGGAGCTGCAGAGGTTATTGAGATCAAAGATGCAGTCCCTCCCCTGGAAGCACATGGTTCCAGACAGACATGTAAAAAAATGGCTAGAGTCCAGCACGATAAATGCCATGGAGAAAGCACGTGTAAAATCCAGGGAACATTAATGACAGTAAGTGTGCATGGAGCCCTGAAAGTGCAGCAGCGCTGTTCTCATCCCTATAAACGTACGAGCTCATTTCGTCCTTCCAAAAACCCTGTGTGGCAGTGCTATTACTATCCCATTTTGCCGGTGGAACAAAGTGAGGCGCAGAGAAGTAAAGACAACTTGCCCAAGGTCCCATAGCTCATAAATGAGCCAGAATATGAAGCCAGCAGCCTGGCTCCAAGTAGTCCAGCCCTACTCTTAAGCACCAAGTCCTGCCTCTAAGGAGTGGGGAATCAGGGATTGTTCCAAGATGCTGGAGTAATGAGGCAGGTCAGAAAGGCTTCCCTGGCTGTGGTTTTAGAGGGCAAGTGGGATTCTGGCAGGCTGCAGGGCCAGTGCATCTGGGAAGTGGGAATAGGAGGCTCCGCCATGTCCGGGCATGGCACAGCAGGCTGTGTGTTCAGGGAGTGTGGGCCAGGCAGGGTCTGCAGACTGTGGGCTTCCAGAGTGGGGGCTGAAGGCCAGGAGCCAGTACCCAGGAGCCTGGGGATATGGTCAGCTGTTCCTCTGCTGTCTTCAGGGAAGAGGAGAGGTCTGGAGAATTGTGTAGGCTGGGAGGGGTGGCACCACCTTCCTTCCTTTGATGTTTTGGGATTAGCCTTTGTCCCTTTTCTGTTTATCCTTCCTCCGGAGTCCTGTCTGCCCTTGGGTCATTACAGAAAATTCTGTCCCACATCCATTTAAGTTTCAAGCAGTGAAGCTTCTTGAACCTCCCAGAGAAAATTATTCTGAAGCCCCGTTGTCCAGGAAACTTCTGTTCAGGGCGTCATTTTTTTTTTCTCTTTTTAAAATCTCTCCCTGTTCCTTCATTATGCCCCCTTGTACCAAACACCACACTCTCCCTTCCCTCCTGGGTGTTTACACCATGCCTCATCTCTGCAAAACCTCATCTGAAAGCCCCTGGTAGTCATCACTTAGCAAAGCTGCATGGATTTAGCTCCTTTAATCTTTTCTGGTAAATTAATCCCCCAAGCGCCTTCATTACTTATGTTGCTCTTCCCCGAATTCCTTCAATTTGCGGAGGCCTTTGCAGTACTGCTGAGCCCAGCACCAAACAGGATATCCTGCATTGTGAGGCTGTTTGGCCTAGGGGGACTGTCACTCAGCATTTCTTTGGTGTTTCCCTCCAAAAATCTCAAAATACTCGAGATTCCAGCTACCACAGGTGTCTCTTGGGCCCAGGCCCAGGCCTTCACCCTGTGCTAATGCACCATGAGGGCTTTCCTGTAGGAGGACGCCGGGAGTCCTTCTCCCGGATGGACAGTGTTGGAGGGACCTAGACTTTCCTCTGAAAGTCTAGGCAGAATCAGGGGGGTGGGGCGTGTGCATGCCAGTGATTCTGGAACAAGGGGCCATGGCTTTTGTCATATGTGTTTGTGTTTTCTTTTTGGGAAATGTTCGTCAAGTGATACCAGGGGTTGGAGGAATACCAGTCTGGTCCCAGGCCTCTCATTTTATCAATACGGCCCAGAAAGGGGAAACATCTCAGCCCAAGTCCCACAGCTCTGTAATAGCAAGACCTAGATGAAAATGAACATTTGTAGGGATGGAATTTTGTCCCTGTTTGTAGGCTGACATGTAGACCGAGGAGCTTCCCCAGTGGGCCAGGGCACTGTTGGTCCTTCCTCACTTGTGGCTGCCCTACCTTCTTTGGCTCATTAGTTACCACAAGTCCAATGACCACATGAGCTCAGCAGCCACGCGCCCTTCCCGCCAGACCAGTAGCTGAATACTGTCCAAAGGCACAGGGCACTTCCATCCGTCTTTCTGTGCAGTGCTACCCTCCTCTACTTTAGCCTGGAGGCTCGGACGAGCCCCCCCCCGCCCCATCATCCCGCTAGGATCCCTGACGAGCCCTCCCCATCATCCTGCTAGGATCCCCATCATCCCACTAGGATCTGGCTTATGTTGCCCCTGGGCTCTGACAGCCATCATGGCTTCCCTGGTTTCCCCAGGTCTCAGGCTGTCCATGTGGGATCACTTTATACCTCCCATGCTTTTTCTCAACCACAGTCAGCAGGTTCAGTCAGGACTCGCTGCCACAGTGGAAGATCTCATGTGGCTGGCATTGGGCTGCCTCAGCAGCCCAGGACCCGGCTCCCACTCTCTTCCCATTGCTTTCAGGTCTCCATTTGTCCACATCTGAGAAAATCTTCCGTTTCCAGGACACAGGACTGCTCCTCCGGGTACTTGGGAGCCTCTTCCTTGGCGGGATTCTCGCCTTTGGTTTGGGCTTCTCTGAGTTCCTCCTGGTCTCCAGAACCTCCAGCCTCACTCTCTCCATTGCTGGCATTTTTAAGGTACAGACTTGGGAGTGATGCCAGCCCTGTCTTAGAGGGGGAGCCCCCAAGGATTTCTCACCAGCAGCTTCGGTCCCAGCTCCTACACCCCAGGGCCCTGCAGAGAAGAGCCGGAAATGCCCCATTAGGTGCCAGGCACTTTGCTGAGTGCTGTGCTGGACCCTCTTTCTGCCTTGACCGCAGCCCTGTGAGTGGGCATGATCACCCCCACCCCACAGACAGGGACACAATTGGAGAACTGCTCTTCCCCAAGGGCTCAGCAGGGGCCGCAAAGCCAGCTCTGACCCCACTAGGCCTGGAATGCATTTACATTTTACCTTGACTGCCAACTCTGGCATTGGGCAATGGCCTGGAGCCACAGGTTGAACAGCCCCTGTCCAGACTCATCAGGAAAGAGTTCCCATGGTTAATAGGCAGTGTTCGTCAGGGCCACGGCCAGGGCTAGTGAGAGACCCTGAGCAAGCGCCCCTGTGGCCAGCCTCACTGTACTGCCGCCTCTTGGCCCTGTCCTTCGCTCTCACACCTTCTCACTTTTCCCTCTCCCTCCCACACATTTCAACAGCCCTCCCTGTTCAGGGACAGGGAGGGAGTTTTCTCTTTGGCCAGGCACACTGATACCAGAGCAGTGTTGCCTAAACCCAGACATGCAGGCCTGCCCGAGGGTCTTCTGGCGGCCAGCCACATGCTGAGGCTTGGCTGTGGTCTGTGATAAACAGCCTCGCCAGTCCCATTTGCAGTCTCCGTTTATGGAGAACCCTGGGACCAGTTTGTGTCCTCAGAGCCTGGGGTAATGCAGCATTCTCATGCACAGGCTGAGGGCTCCCTTCTGTACCTGCCTTCCGGGGCAGGGTCCTTTATCCTTGTGGATATGGTTCAAGCTGAACACCCTGGTCCCCAGCCTGGGATCTGGTTTATCTCTTTTATTCCTGACAGAATTCTGTGACAAGCACCTCCTTTGTTGCATCTCACAGAGGGAGGCTAGTGGGGCAGCACCGCAAGTCAGCCGGGTCCCCTGACCTCTCTGCCTGCCTGGGCCCGGGATTTCAGCTGGATCTTGGTCTGCCCACCTGAGTGTACCCAGTGCCCCCGCCTTCCACCCTCCTGATCACTCCCTGCTGACCATGCCCCCTCCTGCTTCTCTGCCCCCAGGAAGTCTGCACTTTGCTGTTGGCAGCTCATCTGCTGGGCGATCAGATCAGCCTCCTGAACTGGCTGGGTTTTGCCCTCTGCCTCTCGGGAATATCCCTCCATGTTGCCCTCAAAGCTCTGCATTCCAGAGGTAACCTGGAGCCCCTTCCAGAAGCCTCTGTTTTCAGTCCTCCTACCTGTGACTCTTAGTGACTTCTGATGCAGGAATTGTCCCCAGTGGCTCTTCTGCTATTACTCCTCTAGGAAGATGTGGGGGTCATCTCCAGAGTGGGGGAGTGGGGACCTGAGTGACTCAGCACACCTGCAAATCAGGGCAAACCAAGAAAACCATGACTGGGCCTGTAACTGTGGTCTCTCTCTATCCCAAGGTGATGGTGGCCCCAAGCCCTTGAAGGGGATGGGCTCCAGCCCCGACCTGGAGCTGCTGCTCCGGAGCAGCCAGCAAGAGGAAGGTGACAATGAGGAGGAGTACTTTGTGGCCCAGGGGCAGCAGTGACCAGCCAGGGCGAGTGGCTTAGAAGCAGGCCACTCCCCAACCTGCTGCCAGCACTTACTGTGCTCAAGCCTCGGGGGTTCTTCACGGTATCTGGGAGCTGCTGAATCGGACAGAGAGTCACCATGTGGTGGGGCCAGGCCAGAGACTCGTGACTCCTACCCCTCCCTTGGGAGCTTGGTCACACGAGAGGCGAGCACCAGGCCAGCATGGGTCTTGGCCAGACCTGGGCACAAGCTGTGCTGGAATCACAGCAGGAGAAGGGAGTAGGCTGGTTCTTCCCAAGCTCTGACAGCCAAGACTCATTCCGAGGTACAGCAGCTTTCTAAGGGGACCAGGTTTGGATTGTGGAGCAATTGGGAACAGGACCTGGAGGGGCTAGGGCCTCACCACCTGGGCAGCATCTTCTCAGAGAGCAGATTTATTTATAGTTTGGAAATAAATGGTTCACAGTCCACTGATCGCCTTGTGTTGCTGGAGGCGTGGGGACAGGGAGGGGACAGTGTGGGCCTGGCCTCTCCTTTCCTTTCCCTGCCTGGGGCCTTGTTCAAATGACTGGTCATAAGCCAGGCCTGCTTCATTTTTCGTTCCTGTTCGAGCACCATTGCCCTCCCCATGGAGCCCCACTGCACCTGCTGGCAGGAAATAACTGAATATTTACTGAGTACTGCATTCTGGAGACTTTACGTGCTCTTACAGCCTAGTTTGAATCCTGGCTCTGTCACTAGCTGTGTGACCCCAAGCAAATGACCTAACCTGTCTGTGCCATAGTTCTTTAATCTGTGAAATGGGGATAAGAATATCTAAGAGTCCTTTTGAAAATTGAGTCCATATTAGCAACAGATTAAATGTTATATAAGCATTTCTTTTAAACCCTTTAACAACTAAGAGACTAAATCCTGGAAAAGATAAAGAGCTGCTTAAGTGGCCAGGCTGGGATTCATGTCCAGGTCTGTGTACCTGTGTGTGTGCGCACGTGCGGCACGTGACTGATCCACACCGCCCCCTGGAGGGGTTTATGGGCTCCTGGGTCCTGGGCAGCCTTCTCCTCCTTGGCCAAGCCCCACCTCTTCTCTAGACTGCATTCCTCTCCCAAATGAGGAAGGAAGGGGGCAAGACCCCAGCTCTAATGTGCCATGGACTGAGTACTCCTGTAAGCTGGTTCCCCTGCCTTGGGAGACCCCGCCAAGCCTTGGCGACAAATCTTTCCAGGTGAAGTGCTTTTAGGCATTCACAGCAGGTGGCACCATTGCACCACACTGGCTCCCAGAGCCCAGCCGCCCTGCCACCGCTATCCAGGCGAAGGCAGAAAAGGGGTGCTTGGAAGGGGACAGTGGGTGTCCATGGGTGGGGACCAGTATGGGACTTGTTCTAAAATCGTTTCCATCAGGTTGGAGTCACTTAAGCTCAGGAGAACTTGAATACTTTAGAAATGGGTCTGCAAACTTCTTGTAAAGGGCCAGATAGTAAATATTTGGGTTTTGGGGACCATATGGCATCTGTCGCAACTACTCTGCCATCGTAGCACTAAAGCAGCCATAGATGACACAGACACAGGGTGTGGCTGTCCCAGTGAAACCTCATTTGCAAAAGTAGGATCCCGCTTGCCGGCTCAAGTTTGCCAGCCGGGGAGGAACCCTCAAGAATTATTACCAAGTCCAACTTCCACTTCCACAGCCAGGGAGACTGAAGCCAGGAGGGGGCGGTAACTAGCCTGAGGGCCCTCAGAGCCTCGGTGCTCTGGAGGAGTCAGACGGAGATCTGTCTCTAATTCAGATTCCCAGCACAGACTCAGCCGGCGGGGGTGGAGCACCAAGGGACCTCGGAAGCAGTGCCTTATCTGGCTCCTGCACCTCTGCCCCCCTTGGATTCTGCAAGCTCAGAGGCCAGGATTAAAGGAGGTTCAGGCTCCAGCTGCACGACGAGGGTAGAGTCGGCCAAGGAGGGGCTGGGGCCTCCTCTGAGAGGCTGCTTGGGATGCAGGCCGCTTGGGTGCGGGGGGAGCCTGCCAGAGGCCTGCTGGCTCAGGTGGATGAGAGCTTCCTGTCTGCTTTCCCACTGCCTGCCTCCCGGCACTGGGAGCAAGCGCTGCTGTCTGGTGCAGTAATTACAAGGTGCAGAGCGGGGCCCCTTACCTCACACATGTTGGGTTCAATGACAGCCCCTCATTTAGCAGCAATTCCCAGCCGAGCCTAGAGGTGGGCTCCCTGCCCTCCCCCACCCGGCCCACCCAGTCACCTGGCCTCCCAGGCCAGACAGCGTCCACCTCGGCGTTGACCCTGGAACCAGCCATGCTGTCTGCAGCCATTGCATCTCAGCTGCAGCATCACCATGGCAACTCAGTGCTTGCACAGGTTGAGGGAAGCTGAGGATGTGACTTGTCTCTCCAAGGCTGTGGTGTCTGTCCCCACACAGCCCCCAGCTCCGAGGCTTCTGCGGAAGGGGGAGGAGATAGGCGGGCTGACCTGCAGGTTCGAGTTTTAAGTGCTTACATGCCCACCACCTCTCCCAGGAGCCCACGGTGGAAGGAAGGTGAATGCCCCCAATATGTGAGGACGTCTGCAGTTGGTGCTGTGGTGGCGATGAGAACAGGCTGCAGTTTGCCTGTGGGAGGGACCTGAGCCATCAGGCAGAGCCCGGCATACCTTCATCTTCACTCTGGTACCCTTTTCTGCCTTGAGAGCTCAAGGGATTGTCTCCATCTGTTTCTGCTCCATTCTGCTGTGAAACATCCTAGTGTTTCACCTGAACATCCTAGTGGCTTGAGAGTAGAGTTACATGGCACCAAGAGAATTCTCTTCATGGTACTTGCTGTAGCTTCCTGCATCAGACTAGTGATGGGCTGAGGGTGGGGACTCCCAGGTCATCCATTTAGGTCGACAGCACTCAGTCAGTGCTGGCTACATGGCAGGCACTACTGGACCCGGGGACAGAGACATCCGTTTTTGGAGTCAGCCTTCCTCCCAGCCCAGGGAAGTGGTGAGGCAGTGGGCTGGCGAATGGGGAAGAAAGAACAGAAGGACTGTTCACTGGGTGTCATCGAGGCCTTTGCCATAGGTTATTTAATCTGTATCAACCCAGTGCTGTAGGTTCTGATTTTATTTATTTCCTAGCTGTGGAAACTAAGCTCCATAACAATGGCTAAGGATACAGTCTCCTGACGCTGGAGACTGAGACACGTCTATACTGCGATTAGCTGTGTGCTTTAGGACGCATTGCTGATCTTCTCTGAACCTGTCTCTAAAGAAGGAATAATAATATATACATCTGAAGGAAGCTACTGTGAAGGTGAAATAAAATAATGTAGGTAGAGCGCACAGTGCTGGCTCGTAGTCATCGCCACTCAGGAAATGGCAGCGGTGAGGACGTTATTTAACTCGCCCAGATGAGAGGAGGAGCCACTTTGGCCTTCTGAGGTCCCCATCGCTGCTGTAATAATGCCTGGTACCAGGCATGCATTTAACAGATGTTTTTGTTTGTTTGTTTGTTTTGTTTTTTGAGATGGAGTTCTGCTTGTTGCCCAGGTTGGAGTGCAATGGCGCAATCTCAGCTCACCGCAACCACCACCTCCCAGGTTCAAGCGATTCTCCTGTCTCAGCCTCCCAAGGAGCTGGGATTACAGGTGCCCACCACCACTCCTGGCTAATTTTTTGTACCTTAGTAGAGACGGGGTTGCACCGTGTTGGCCAGGCTGGTCTCGAACTCCTGACCTCAGGTGATCCACCACCTGGGCCTCCCAAAGTGCTGGGATTACAGGTGTGAGCCACCACACCTGGCCCAGATGCTTGTTTTTTGAAGGAATTTCCACTAGTGGAAACTAACATGGGGATTTTACAGGTTCTAACTTCCAAATGACTTGCCTATAAGAAGGGGCTATTCCCTCCCACCGCCACCCATTCCTGCCAACCTCCAATCTCCCAGCCATCCCACGGGACCTTCACCCTAACTGCACAGCGCTGACATCAGTCAGGCCCCTTCACCCGTGCTTTGTCTTAACCAATTAGCTTGACGTCTGTTCCCATGGTTATTTGCAGTTTCGTTGGCAACTAACATATTTCTCAGAAACAGGCCAGCAGCCCCCAGTCCCACTGGCATCCTGCTGGTGGGCCCATCCTCTTCTGGATGTCGGATGAGAACTCTCCTGCTGGGAACAACAGAAGGACAGAGGATGGAACCAAAGGAAAATGCATTCAGATGCATTCCATCAGTGTTTGTGGAGCATCTACAAGGTGCTGCTCAGTGTTCGCTGCTGGAGATACAGAAGTCATTAAAACATGGTCTCTGTCCTCAAGGAACTTCTGTAGGGCTTTTTATTTTTGTTTTATTTTATTTATTAGAGATGGGGTCTTGCTGTGTCTTCCAGGCTGGTTTGCAGTGGCACAATCTGTGACGTTGACCTCCTGGGCTCAATTGATCCTCCCACCTTAGCCTCCCAAGTAGCTGGGACTGCAGGCTTGCACCATGCCTGGCTTCTGCAGGGCTTTTTAATGCAGTGGGTTCCCTGAGAAGTAGATTCAGAGACGGAGATTCGAGTGCGGGACATTTATTAGAAAGTGATCTTGGAAAAAACACCTGTGGAAAGGAGAAGCCTGCAGGTTTGGACAGAGGGGAAGCTGAGCTTCTGAGCAGTCCCACCAAAAGCCTCAGTCAACCCCATAGGAAGCTCTAAAGCTGAGATGCCTCTCAGAGTTGTCCTGAGTTGGGGTGAGAAGTTCATGGCTTTCTACCACAGCATTGACCTGTCATTGGAAGGGAGCCTGCCCCTGGAAGGAGGTGTAATTTGGGGCAAGGCAGGGTCTTCAAATCAAAGAAGGCTGACTGCTAAGGGCTGTCTGTTAGCCAGACTCCCAGCGACTGAGGAAATAAGTCCTTCACTCCCAACAGGAGATCTGAACACCACATCAGTGTCCATCACAAACAGGGTTCACAGTCTGGCTTCAGGGATGATCAGAAGAGGAAAGCAGCATCCAGCATGTGTATGTGTATGCATGTTTTTCTGGAAAACAGTGTCCTTGACCCACAAAAGATTAAGAATCATTGGTTTATGGAAAGCCAGACTCATTCAAAACCATGTGATCAGAGAGGCACACAGTAGTTGTTCGATAAATATAAAAGGACGGATGGATGGATAATCGATGGATGAGTGGGTGGATGGCTGGATAGGGAGATGGATGGATGGAGGTGTAGATGGATGATGGATAGGTGAATGGGTAGATGGACAGACGGGTGAATGGATGGATGGAGGGGTAGATGGATGGTGGATGAAGGATGGATGGATGGATGGATGGATGGTTGGATGAATGGATAGGTGGATGGATGGATGGATGACGGATAGGTTGATGAATGGATGGGTAGATATATGATGGATGGATGAATGGGTGCGTGGGTGGGTGGATGAATGATGGATGAATGGATGGTAGGTGGACAGGTAGATGGATGGATGGGTAGACAGATGAT